TAAAACACATTATACTCTAATACTCTAATCTCTAATATTGACTCTAATCTCACATTATACTATAATATATTCTACTGTAAAATTGGGTATATTTGAAACTTTTTTTTCTAGATAGACATATGGCTGAAAAGAAGCAGTTGAATATAAGTACATGTAGTTAATTTTATTTATTGGTTATGTCTATATTTATTAATTTGATTAATTCATAACAAATTGAAATATGATAGGCAGTGGTTCTAAATTTTATGAAATGGTGAAATAAAATATTAATATAATTTGTATATAATATGATATGTAAAGAAATAGCAAAATAATAATTACTTTTAGAATTTTTATGTACGTTAATATGTTCGCGTTGATGTAACAATTTATTAATAATAAAATTTTCATTAGAATATTTTAAAAATTTTTTACGTGTAATTACTTAATAAGGCTCCTTTACATCAAAATTGTTTTTATCAAATAAAAATTAAAGATTAAATTGTTTTCCATATCAAATATGTCTTAATTATTAATTGTAAAATGATAATAAATATTTGCAAGAATATTTCTAGTATTTAAAGAATTCACAATCAATGACAATGAAAATCAATAAAAAATATTGTCATTCAAGCATAGGTAACGTTCCCCTATTGTGTTATAACCACATATATGAATAATAATATTTCGCATGATCGGCTGAATTGAATTTTGTAACTGATGATTATATTACATATCCAATAATTTGTTATTAAAATTAAAACTGGAAATTATTTTCAAAAACTGTACGTTAGCTTCTCTCTACTTATGCACTGCCAGTAAAACAATTGATTTTCAAAAGAAGATTAGATTTATAATTAATATTAATTAATTTAAATATCGTATTTGCATAATATTTGCAAAATAGAAGTATGCGGTTAATATCTTAACCTTTTTAAGAGTAATATAATTTCATTTATTTATTGATGGTAAATAAATAAATAAATATTTAATTTTAATGGCTCGCGCAAATTGATTTAAATCAACAGTGTAGCGTATTAGAAATGGTTAAAGTGTTTAATATTATATTTTTAAAAAATGCTTATTTATTATAGAATGATACAATTAATAATATATTAAGAAGTTTTTAATTTTTAATAATTTTTTTATAGTATTACGATATATATATAAACATATGTAATTATATGATTATCACAATAATTGAAAAAACTAATTAATGTATTTATACATTAAAGGAAAAATATTGCTTTTTTAAGTAGTTCCATTAAATTTCTGATAATATTTTTTTTGTTAATTAATATAATTTCTTTTATAAATAAGGTTTTTTATTCTAATTTAAAAGTCGTTTCATATGTCAAAATATAAAATTGATAGGCAAATATTTTTTTAAATACCTATCGAGATATCGAGTCATGATATTATTTGTTACTTTTGTCAAAATAAAGTATTTTTAAAACAATGCTTACATGACAATTATGTATTGGCAAACTAATTTTATTTGGTAATTTTATTTGATTAATACTTTCGATATGAGTATACAATTTGACAAGCTGCTTAATCTAGTTATGAATTATTTAATTGTATTTAGATATTATCATATAGTAACGAATTAGATTGGACTAAAGTATTCTGTGATAATTTTTTATATAAATCTATCTAACTCTGTACAAATTTTTAATATATACAAAATAATTTTATGCCCTATTAGTTGTCTCAAATATAATATCATTACTAATTAATAGTAATAAAATTATTTAATTTGAAATTAAGTTCAAATGTAGTCTTAAATGTCTATTTAAAGTAATACTTTATAATTAGATGTGATATTCGAAATATTATTTTCAGTAAAAATGGATTTTAATAAATGGTTCTTTATAAATATTCATACATAATTTATGAGTTATTAAACGTAAAATCTTAATTACAAAAAATTTATAATTGCATAAATTAGTTATCATCTTCTAAATAACTAATATTACATTATACCAGTTCAAAATTAAATAAATCTCGAATAGTAAAATAATTATTTTATTCTTAAAAAATAATTAAATTATATTCTATTCAATTATTAATATATTGCACTGTACGTAATGAATATGTAATATTGTTAATTTATTATTGAATTAAATTATTATATGTTTTTAAGCATGTAAAATATATAAAAATTCTTTAAAATTTTTTCTAAAAGAGTAATAAGAGATCATAAAGTTACATAACGAATAATTAAAGGAGATTTTTTCGTGTCGTTTGGAGATAAAAATTTTTTTATTATAGATCTGGAATTATAGAAAGAATTAATATATTATTAATAGAATTTTATATTTAAACGTTATGAAATAATAATGAAATTGATACTTTTTCTGTTAATAATATAAGTTGTAAAAAATGATTTGTAATTATTCCTAACATATTACTAAATTTTGATCGATTTTCAAGTATAATGCAATTTTAGAAATACAAGCATTATGTATTCTATTCATCTATTGAATATTAACTTCTATTCTATTAACTATTCTATTCTAATATATTAACGGACGAAATTCATATTATTATTCACAGTACTATACTCAAAACCAAAATGAACAACTTATATTCATCAATCCATTATTTTTTCCAATATTGGAATTATCATCGTAACTGACCTATCGTCAATATTCACTCTTTATACAAAGTGTAGAAGAACAATAATTGTAAATATAAGCAAACGCTAAATACTGAAATCGTGTTAATGTTGCTAATCATGTTAGATCAATACACCTATGGAATGTGCAGCATATACAATTAAACATATACATAACCAATCACGTGACTTTGCTAATGCACAATGAAAGGTTGCCTTCAGAATATATTATAAAATAGTGTGAAAAATAAAAGAAATTTTTTATATAATTTCTATGAGGTTAAGAGCTATGTAAGTTCCGATCTTCAGTTATTTTAACATTATTTTGGTTCACAATACAATATGTGACATGTAGTTAATTTTGTATCAAAAAGTGTCTGTATAGTTAATAGTAACTGAAAATGGTATATCATCTAGTGACCCTATGGTATCTATTAGTACCAGGTACTGTTTATGGATTGTTCAGACAGTGCTGCTTTTCTACGTTGCTATAGAGAGCGAGACAAGAGCCACTGCCATTCTCGCTACCTAAGCTAACAATGGAGGCGAATTTTTCAAAATTGTTGTATTACATAGCTTACTTATATTGCTAGCGAAGCATTCCATTTTTACATGATGAAATGTTGTTCTGTGTTTCAACTGTTATATTTGAACTGTTATTGTATTGCTGTTTGTCTTAAGTAGATTGATGTTTGATCGGAGATAAAGATTTAAACGTTGAATTATCTTTGATCTCAATAGCCGTAGAATTTGTCTATGAAAGCAGTTAAATTAAGTGCAGTATTGGTTGAAAACTAAATTATAATTATGTCTATAGAAGTTTTAAGAGGCATCTATAATAAAAATATAATTATGTGTTATGAGAATTAAACTATGCTTGTTTATGTATTATATATATGTGAGTGTGTATGCGTGCACACGCGTGCGCGTGTGTGGATGTGAGTGTGTAAGTGATGTATTTAGTGTTAGTGTAAAGAGAATGTCATAATTTTTTAATCAAGTTAGTGGTAATTAAAATGATCTTATTCATTTAAACAGTATATAATTGAATCTGAACTTAATAAATGCCCAATATTCTATACTTATTTAAGATTTATATTAACTAATTATTTTTAATGTGAACCATTGATAGTATTAAATATACACGATTTGATCTAGTCAAGAAATATATATATTTAAAACATTTGTAAAACATTGTATTAAATTGAAATATTATATTTAGCTTGGTTATTCATTTTACACAATTAATTTTGCTTGATTGAATAAATAATTAATCAAATTAATACATTCAAGAAGATATTAATATGGCGACAATAATAAGATATTCGGCAAGGTTCTTCTATTTATTAATTTCTGAATAATGCCATAACTTAGTCAACATAGTAAGGTTATTCAAAATAAATTTTCAAAGTTCTTCTTTTATAATATTTACTCTGAATATTGACTTTATTAATTAATTATATTGTTTGTTTATGAAATATCATTAATTTTATACCATGAATATAAAATAATAATTCTATTTTTATTAAATTTATTGTATTTTATAAATGATATTAATAACGGTATTGTTACATATTTGACATTTTTTGGAATGTTCTACACGCATAAAAGATTTTCAATGGACTGATCTTTAAATTTCCAATTTAATGTTTTTAAATTCATTTTTACGAAAAAATTAAGAATTTCACATTGTATAATACATAATATGAAATTAAAAATACTAATTTATAAAAATAAAAAAAATGATTTCGGTAATAAATTTATTAATTATTAATTTATAGATTGATTTCATATAAAAATTCATTTAAATTTGCTTTCATAAAATTACTTAAGGCGAGAGAAAATTACTTAAGACGATTTTTTACACAATTTTTAAGCTTAATATCGCAGATTATTATACTGTACAAAATTATATAGGATTTTTATAAAAATAAATCAACTACACCTTTTACTATCCATCATATTTAATATTTTCTCATTGATTAGCATAACTGTATCGATTTTAATGCATTAATTTAATATATTTTTATAAAAAGTAGTTTGAGCATATAAATGAGCATCAAATGTAATTGTGATACATTAAATTGCTTTATCGTAAATATATAAACAATTTAAGTAGATTATTTGTAACTTGGAATATATAATGATCAATGAGCGACGGTTATTTTCTTTATTTCGCAATAATTTACTCCTTATGATATTGAAAAGTGATAAAAAGTCTTTTGTAAGCTATATTCGAAATATAATTTTTATTGTAGTTTCAGTTGATTGAGTTTTACAATGATTAAACTCCTTATCAGTACGTTTAATATATGTATTATTTTATTAATTAGATAACGACAAGTAAAAACGAAGAAAGATCCAAGTTCTTATAATAGGGTTATTGGTAAAGGATGTCTGAATGGGTGGGGTGTGTTCTTGTAGAGGTCGAGGAATTCAGGCCAATGCGGGCTCGATTCTCGATCGTGTAATTAGCCAGGCCAGTGACGAGGATCGGTGTTTACTCTATAAGCTAGCCAATTATAAAAAGGGTGGAGAATTGATCGAGGCTTATAATCAAGGTGGGCAACAAGAAGTTGAAAAACTTATTCAAGATCAATTTGGTATTTTAACGTATGATAACGGTAAAGGGCAAGTTATAAATAGAGCAGAATATCTGCGATGGAAATTTCGTGATCTAGAACAAGTTATTTTACCAATTGAGGCATCATTGTCGCAATTTGATCCCTTGGCCCAATGGAATGACCACGAAGCCTGTTGGCAGATGCAGTACAGAGGTTCATTGGGAGAAACACTGCTGCACGTATTAATAATCTGTGATACAAGAATCCATACCAGAATTGCAAGGACACTGTTAAAATGCTTTCCCCGATTAGCAATTGATGTGGTAGAAGGTGAGGAGTATTTGGGCGCTAGTGCATTGCACTTAGCGATCGCTTATGCTAATAATGAGCTGGTTCAAGATTTAGTGGAAGCTGGTGCTATTATATCTCAAAGAGCCACAGGAAGTTTTTTTTTACCAAGAGATCAGCAATGTCCCCACCCAGCAAAGTACACTGATTACGAGGGATTGGCCTATTTGGGCGAATATCCTTTAGCTTGGGCTGCTTGTTGTGCAAATGAAAGTGTCTACAATCTTTTATTGGATTTTGGAGCACATCCAGATGAACAGGATACTTTTGGCAATATGATTTTACACATGGTGGTTGTTTGCGATAAATTGGTATGCACTTTTGTCTTTTATATATACTTTATTTTAAATCATATATTTTTAGAAAATCTTCGGTTTGAAGAAATAAGTTATGAGTTTTACATAATTACAATACGTTAGTATGACGTTTTATATTATGTTTTTTGCATAATAAATTAATTTAATTACCAAATATCAAGTAACTATAGAAGCGACAAATAAAACTTAATTTCTGAATCGGTATTAATATCATAATTTTTTATCTTAACAAATATGCTAAAGTATCGATCAAAAAAATTTCATTATCTATCATATTATTACAATATGTTCGAATTAAACGAATTATCAAAATTAATCACTATAAACACATTATTCAACAGTTCATTTTTCGCTTTTAAATATAAAATGGATTGAAAGGTGAATATAAAAGAGGGTTTAATTTTTATTATTCTCACTTCATAATAATATTTTAGTTTGTCATTAAAGTATTGTCTATTTACCCTCTATTACAATACCCACTATACAATTCGTTGTTTCTCATTTCCATTTATTTAATGTCAAGGATTAACTATAATTAGTACATTATATTATAAACTGTATAATATTATGTTTTTATAATATATTTAGTTTATAATATACTGTATTAAACAAAATATTTTTTGGTTAAAAAGTGAATTAGTTTTTATCATTATACATATTAAAATTGTATAAATTATTTAAAATATTAAATTATACATTTATGGAGAAACGACTTTTTTCTTTTTAAATTAATAAAATGATATAAACACTAATTTTTTTAATGTATAAATAGTATAACTAATGAAAATCGATATAAAATAGAGAAATAAGCGATAAATAATGCTTAAAATATAGTGTATAAATTATAGAGATTAAATAGACAAATCTATTAATTATTTCTAATAAATTTCTACAAGGTATTGAAAATTTATGATCTGATAAGTTTAAATTGATAGAATTCGAAATAAAATATTGGAAAAAATTTTAAACCATTCAATTTTAGGAAATAGAACAGTACGTAAATGGGCCTTACGCGTGAATTTAATCAAATTTACGGATGCTGCTTGATGAAATCTGGCAAGCGCACTATTGATGCCAACACTGCATCGAGCGTGAAATCGAAGATCTTTAACTCATTTTTTTTAATTTGACCTTTTTTAAACGTACCCGTTATTAAGGTATTCTTTTTTTTTATTAACGTACAGAGTTGTGCAAATTATTTTTCCTGAATAAAAAATGCAATTCTTACCGTAAAATAGGCGCACTGCATTCTACAAATATAAATTTTGTAAATTTTTTATAGAAAAGAGAGTTTTTGAGAAACTTCATTCTCAAGTTATGAATCAAGCGTAACATGTCACAGGAGAGTAAACAAAAATTAAATACATTAATGACTTATTGTATGTGTTATTTATTCTTTTACTCTCTCTGTTACTCTTTAAATATATAATAGATTAATAAAAGGATTTTTGAAAAATTTTAGCAAATTTAAGGCAAATTAAAATTAGCAATAAGATAAAATTAGATTGATTTTTTGTTTTCTATAATATGCTATATTATAAATAAGTTTTTTAATATCAATCTTGCCTATTCACATAAAGGACATTCTTGTATACAAATTAATGTAACTGAAAACTTTTAACATATAGACATTCTATAGATTCTATGGATCTAAGGATAAATTTTGATGTTCAAAAACCTTTTTGAGAAAGTATATATGGTATATTGTGGCCTATATATAACCTATTGTGTAATACATGAGTCATATGTTTTGCTATATTTAAGCTTATTATGTTCCGAAATATTGTATAAAAACTTTGAAAATACAATTTCACTGTTTTTATTGTTAAAATACTACTATACTGTAAAATACAGCGGGCTGATTGGCAGTTATTAGTTTAATATTATAAATCGTTGTTTTCTAATACGACTTATAAAGAATAAAGTTTCTTGATGAAAACATTTTTATAATAAATTAAAAAAGTTACGTTACTTCTAATTTATTCAAAGAGTTCAGTTTCAACAATTACTCCGGATAAGTACATTTAAAAATAAAATTATATTGATTTATGTTAAGTATTTGAAATGTTCACAACACACATATTTATAATATATTTTTATTTTAATAAAAAGTGGTTTAATTGTAAGTATCTATTGAATGTAGCAAATTGTTTAATTTTTTTTAAAATTGATTCTAAATGTAATATATCTAACTTTATCCTCAACATGCTCATAATCAATCAATTAAAAAAAGCGATGAAAATTTTTTAAATATTCGTTCGACTTTATTCATAGATTGATTATTAATTTATTAAATAACTATTAACCTTGTGACGAAATAATACTTAATTGTATTTGCTTATTAGATCTATTAAGTGTCTTTCTTTTTTTCTTTCTATATAATATTACATGTATTTTTATGTGTATAATATTGTTCAGGATTGGCGCTCCCAACCAAAAAAATTTAATTTCCTAAAATTTTAATCACTATAATAAGAAAATTCGCTACAAAAAATTTTCAGAAAAAGTTAGAAGCTTTGCCTAAGAAAGCCTTGCAATTTATCCGCATAGCAACTAAGGCAGAATTTCGAACTGGTCAAAGCTTACTTTCCGAGAATTTGACAAAATTTCCTAGAATAGAACCTCTAGTGACACGCAAGAAAGCTTCGACACTGTAATACCAAAGGTATTAGTGCCAGACTCTGAATCTACGCAACCACATATACAGAGCAGTGCACGTCGAAGCAAATCAGTCTTGTCGAGTTAATGCGAGTTAGTGCAAGTCACACCTAGTAAAGTTCTACATGCTTGTCTATGGGAATCCGTGCAAGGTATACTCAATTGTTTATATTATTTATTGCTGACCAGCTAGCGGTGCGCCGTTCGCAACTTGACTCTTGTCAGACCGCATTGAGGACGTCGGTATAGCCTGGCATCACCAGCACACTATTTATATCATTCATTGTTATTACGACACAACGCTCACATTATTGGTGAGTAGTTTTGATTATTATCAGACCGCTAAAGAGGGCGCCTATTGGCCACGCGACTCTCGAGAGCTTGATTCCCAGAATTACTGTTACGTTCTACTGGTACAATAAAGCGCCCACAGTATAAAAAACCAGTCTCTCCTTGCACACCCGGACGCGGCCATGCAGTTTCTCTGCCAACTATCAGGATCACGACGAGTTCAACAATTTTTACAACGACCGGTAAAAACAACATTAATTGTAACACAACCTTAAATAAAAGTCACTAAAACAATTTTGTTTATACTGAATTGCATTAACCTCTCACTCATCCCCCCTTTCTACCACTAAACCGGTGGTACGGTCTAATCCAATCACCTTGGTCTCCTGACCATCTAGGTGGCTGGAATCTCAAACATTTGATCCTTTGACCCGGATAGTAGAGCTAACGCATTATTTCAGTTAACACAGGGATGGAAGTATCATTTATTTAAGAGTACACCATTAAAAACTACTGTTTCAAACTACCATTACCGACATTTGTTCCGCTACGTCGCCGAGCGTCAACTCGTAACAAGGAATCATCTCACAGTAAGCAGTTAATTGATTCTTCTCTTAGGATACTGATTCATCATCAAGAAAATGCCAAACTAGGAGAAAAAGGAACCCCAGATTTCCACGAGCTCTAACGCAACGATAACCGCTGAAGCAGATATCCGTAGGACTCGTAGCGTCACCACAGTACTATTAGCCACCGAGTTCACACTGAAAACTCAAACGCAATGGAATCGCATCGCGGTAATTAAGGAGATAGGGGAAGAACTTCCAACCCCTCACAAGAAATTCTCCATCGAAGAAGTCCAAGGCGCAAGAAAAAGAGTTGATGAGCTTCACAAGGCGTTTAACAAGGAACATGCCTGTTTAAAGGTTTCATGGCCTGCAGCCCTGATACAACACGAATACTTTGCACAGAATACGCAAGGAAATGAATTCAGGACATGCAATCGTAGAAGCCGTACTCGACAAGCTGTATCGGGAGCTAAGGAAGCCTACTCAAGACCTACCCGGAGCCTCGAAATCATCCAAGGATGTCTTCCCAACGATGAAGGAACCAAAGGAAATAGCCTGTCTTCCAGACTTACCACTGCCCACTTCCTCTGGCGATTACTTGACATGGCCGACCTTCTGAGACCTGACCTAATCAGTCATCTTGGATAACAATAGGCTCAGCGAGATGGAAAAATTACAATATCTCAGAAACTCCCTACAACAAAAAGCATTGAAAACCATTGAAAGATCCGATAACATAAGGCTCCCTTGCAGTAGCGTGGGAGGCACCAACAGAAAAGTATGAGGATTCAAGATTGTACGTCGAATCCCACCTGGACCAACTCCATTCCTATACGTCATGAATAGATGATGATAACCTTAAATAAAAATCACTAAAACCAATTGAGCTTATACTGAATTGGTGCATTAGCTATTCACTCATCCCCCCTTCCGCCATTGAACCGGTGGTACGGTCTAATCCAACCACCTTGCTCTCCTGACCATTCAGGTGGCTGGAATTCCAAACAAACATATTTATATAGAAATTTAAAGGTTATGTTATTACCAATAATTACTATTAGAATCGATATTAGTATAAGTAATAATTATAAAAGTTGTACGCATTTATAAGATTTTGTATATCTGATCTATATTATAGTTCATATACTATCTAGTGACATTTTCATAATCGCGTATATGAGATTAAGACCCCGTTGCTCGTTCGTTATCATGCATTCTTAGAAGGTTAGAAATACTAATTAGAATGTAACTTATCGCAGGATATGTTTGGGTATGCTCTTCGTCACCCCAAACTACCAGCACGCAATGGTATTGCGAACGCTTCCGGCCTGACTCCTTTGACACTTGCTTGCCAGCTGGGCCGTGCTGAAGTCTTCCGCGAGATGCTCGAGCTGTCGGCCCGGGAGTTTTGGCGATATAGTAATATCACCTGCTCAGCTTATCCTCTCAACGCCCTTGACACACTGCTACCCGATGGAAGGACAAGTACGCTTCCTTTGACATTCAATTAAGACTCTCCCTTTTCAACAACCGTCTCTATGTTTCTGTCCCCCTCCCCATTTACTTTTCTTCATTTCACTCGTTGCTCTATCGCCGATATACAATGGAGAGCTTATTCGTGTATGCGCATTTTCCTTGCACGATTGAAACATTTCTTTGGAAATTTATTTTCTTTTTTTACAGGGTTTATAAGATTAACGAGGAAGAAGCTAAGATAAGTGGCTTCAAGTAAGTTTTCAGTTATTGAAATTCTTTGTTCCAAGAGTGAGTGGTATTTACCAAGACCTTCTTGAATGATACTTATGTGATAATACAAGTCATGTATACCGAGGAGAAACATTTTATTGAACTCTTAAAAAAATCGATTATTTAAAAGTTACAATTAAGTATATGAAGTAGTATATGTAGTATATACAATTAAGTATATGGAGTACATTTAAAGTAAAGAAAAACAAATAATTTATAATACGGAATAAAAATAAATTAGATTTGATCATATAATTCAGCTAATATAATAAAAAGAAAATTGTGACAGTAAGTTTCTAAGGATTAATTTAATTAATTCATATTGTTAAATATTTAAAGTGAATAATAAATTAAAAAGTAAAAATGAAAATAGAATACAAAATAAGAATTATTAAAGAGTATGGGAGCAGATCGAAAATAAAAATAAAGTGAAAAAGTTTCAAAAGTTGTTGCATCATTTTGCAAAGCAAATCATTTTAATTAAAATTGATTGATTAAGTCGATATGGAACAAAATTGTTTTATTTGATGGAGTTATTTGAATAAGTTTTATTTATTTGATAAATTTATTTAAATCTTTTCTTTCCAATTTAACGTTTAATTTTGAAAAGGTTAAAATTGTTACATTTCATTATATATTATTTGTATTTATAAATATCACGAAATACTTGTTGCAATCTACTTTTAGATTAGATTTATCATTTTTTAATATTCATTAATAATATATTTAAATTTATTTTATCTAATATGTTTTTACCGATGTATGTTTACGTAATGAAATATAATTTTAATTATACTGGTAAAATATATCGACTATATTCAAAAGTATTTTGGAAGGTCATTCTTTCTTTGTAAGTACTTTCTGAGATATTTTAAACTACATATTTGATTTAAGATAAAATATTTTTCTTAAAAATGAAATACCTGTTCAACATATTTTTGATTTGTTATTTTATTAAACAAAATTTTTTATTTGTTAATAATATTTTTTTACTATTATATAAATATTACTTAAAAATAGTTGAAATATTAATGAAATAAATATTTCATTAATGTAAGATCGTAATGATATAACTAGACTGTATGGTATTCCTTTAAAATTGTTTAATGACATAAATTTGATAAACATTATATATTAAATAAGAAATATATACATGTATATATATGTTATGTTTAAAAATTTAAAGTATATTTAATTTCCAAAAGTGACAATATTATTCTTTTTTTAAGTCAAAATTAAAATATGTACTATTTCAAGAAATAGCTTAAGCAAATATGTTAAATGCAAAAAAATATTTTTTTATTGAAAATCCAATTATTAATTTCACATTTCATTTTAGAGTATTTCATGCATGCACCTTGACATGTAAAAATACTGAAATTAAATCTAAAACGACTAGTCCAAAATATCTATCATATATTTCAAATAGTTTTAAAATAGTTTTCAATAATAATTGATAATATAAAAACTATAGAAAACTGACGATCTTCTATGCAAAATTTACAAAATTTTTATTTACTAAATTAGGAAAAAAATTTAATTTCATTAGCAAAAATATGCAAAATAAATAATATATACTATAAATAATATACTATATTATTATAAATCCAATATAAAAGAATAAATGAAAAATTTAATGTTAGATATAAAATGTAATAATTTAGATTGAGTCTAAATATAAAATTTATCAATATGTTTTGATCATTAAATATCTTAGATGACAGAATAATTATAAAATATATTAGTGAAGAAGTAACGAAATTTTAAAATAATTAGTTAATTAAAAGAAAAAACCATACAAATTTGAAGCATAAATTTTCAGTGATCAGATTTTTTCCAAAGGAATTGCTTGTTTTCATTTAACATGTTTAAAATATATAGAAATTTAAATAAGAAAAATTTCCTGTATTTTGAAATTTTTTACATATAACTGTGTACTATTTATGTAAAGTCTATTTCTATCAATAATTAATTATAGGGAAAAAATTAAATAATTTTAAAATATAATATTTTTTTAAATATGCTTTATTAAACCATGTTATTTTTATTAATTTACGTTATTGATCATATTTTCATTTTACAAAATTAATTTTTATTTTTACTATAATATAATATTATATCATATAATTATAAAACAAAGTTTTATAATTTTGATGTTATAATATAAATTATTTATATTTTAATTTTTTTAACTAATTTTCTAGAATTTAAAATTTTGTGAGTTTAACTTTGTAAGTTGGATGTTTGTAATGTAATTATTTACAGATTCTTTTTTCTATAGTTATCCATTGAAATTGCTTTTAAATACTTGATATTTAATTTTCCGTAATAGGATTGTTAATAAATATATGCGAAATTATTGTTTATAATGTAGGGTTTAGATTTAAAAGACTAGATAGTAGACAAATTACAAATATTATTGTATTTGTCGTAATTTTCTTTAGAATTATAATAATATGGAGAATATATGAAAATGATTAAAATTGCTGACCATCCTAAAAATGATGCAACGTTCAAAATTTACATTTCAATAAAAGCATCAAAAACATTTTTCTTAAGACTTTGTTTCTTTTTTCTAGAAAATGAAACCTAAAAACAATTTAAAAAAAAACGTTTTTTATATTAGTTTTGCAACATTTTTTATGAATACTTACTTCAGAATAAAATATCAAATAAATATATTCATCAATCTTTTATTTTATATAATATTTAAAAATATATGTATAAACTATATATATAACTTTATGTATATTAATATGTAACTATTATTAAAACTGAAAAACCTTTAAACATTATTTTAATCGTATGAAATATTTATGATACAAAATTTTCTATTCCGTAAAATAAACTAATTTCAAATAAACCATACGTTTTACTAGTTGTCACATATAAAACATTTATTTGTCAAATATTCAATTGAAATGTATATTTTATAAAATATTATAAAATATATTAACAGTTGTATAATATTTATCCCGTTAATACAAATATGTTATTATTTACTAAAAAATAAAAATTGTTTATTTTATAAAATGTATTATAGATAATTATATTGATTTAAAATTGACTCTTGTTTGATAAACTTAAATGTAATTTCTTAACACTGTAATCAATATTTTATTGGAATTATGTTCTATTTATTAATCTAAATAATTATATTTATTATTTTAAATAATGATTTTATAGTATTTAGTTTTACATAAATGATTTTTTTCCAATTTCAATGTGTTAATTTTATATTTTAATGACCAAGAAAAGTATGATTGAAATTGAAAATACTTTCATAAAATATTAATATGAATTATACATGTAAATAAAAAAAATAAACATTGGAATAATAAATGTTTTTTAAATGTTAAATAATGTGAATTTGATTGCATGAATTAATTTTCATTTTAAAAGTAAAAAAGTTTCACGAGATACGAATAAATATGAAATTAAATATAATTATATTTTGGCATTTAATATTAATGTAGGATTATACTAGAATTTTTCACATCCAGAAAATGAATAATATTTTTCAGTAAATTCAGTATGTTCTTTATTATACATTATAATATTCATATTATTCTAATAATTATATTAATTGACATATTTAATATTTATATTCATCGCAATAAATTAACTACTATTAAAAATTGGATATTTAAAAATATTTTATTGATTACAGTAGTATAAATGAAGACAATTAATTTATAACATTAATATTACATTGAACTAAGAATTATATTTCAAAATAATGTAATGAACACAGTATAATAAGTCAAGTTCTTTCAAATTGCTCAAAATACTTGTATTGCAATAAAGGTGGAAGGAAATACGGTATAGTATAAGAATAAAGTAGCATACAAGGAATTATGAAAAGATAGAAATAGACACAATATTATCAAGTGAAGTAGAAGGCGAGAAGGGAGTCGATACTTAAAAATAAACATAATATTAATGTATAGTGAGAGAAACAAAGAGAAAGAGAGTGATTAAAATGATCGGAGAGAGAAAGAGCTTAATATAATATCTAGCTGAGAGACAAGAACTGTCATAGAGGCTTGTACTTCATCTAACAAACGAATCTATGTCTCCCGATTTTTTACTTTTTCTAGATTGGAACTCAGCTCTATTTATTATTCTTAATGGAACAAAGGAAGAGCACTTAGATATGCTGGATGGTGGCATCATTCAGCGATTACTTGAGGAAAAATGGAAAACCTTTGCTCGAGTAAGTATTATTAGTTTCCAGTAAGTTATTCTTTACAATTTTTTGGCAATAATTTTTCGTGATATTGTATATTTTATATAGTTATAATAGTTGGCTGATTTATAATTTATATAAAATTGATTTTACTGGTTAAAATGTTAGAATACTACCTATATTTATGTTTACTGTAATATAAATATTTAGTAGTATAATTTATAAATTTATCCCATAATATTTAATGTATTTGTAAAATAATAACTTTATAATTAGGCTGCTTAATTATAAAAACATAATTAATATAATAAATAATGATAATTGATGATAATGTTACATACTTAAAAAATATTTAGAATAAATCATTAAAAATATAACATGAATATACAATTTTTAATATTTACTAATTATTACAGATTTTAATTAATTGTTTATATTAATTTTTATTTGACATTTATATAAAAATTTATTTGAACTTGGATACTAAATTGTGTTATTAAAAATAGATATTAAAAAAAGTATTCATAAGAAGGAAATATGTCTCGCTTATTTAGTAGGATTTTCTTCAAAGCTTATGAGTGTTAAATAATACTTTCGAATAAAACACTTAGAGTGAATATTTCTTATATAGTAAAATCTATTACAATATATATATAATTTATTTACAAATTTTATTTTTAATAATGGTGTAATTTATTATATTTCATTTCGGTTTTCAATCATTTCGTCACAGACCATATATAACTTAAAAAATTAATTAATTTAAAATTAATTTTTAATCAAGACCTACTTTGATATAAATTAAAATTAGTATAAGAAAATTTTTTCAATATTTTGATACAGCATTGTATTATTTTATTACTGCTATTTTAATTACTTAAATTAATACAATTAATACATTAAAATATATTGTAGTATTATATTAGATCAACAATTTATCAAGTAAAGCTTACAATAATTATAGTTTTTAAATTAAAAAATATATATTTTTTAATATTAATAAAACAACTCAATGATTTTACTTTTTTATAATCATAAACTAAAACAATTTTCAAATAAATTGATTTCTTTAATTTTTATTTAAGAATATAAGACTTATTTTTGTTGTTATATCTACGTTAAGATTATAAGAATATACTGAAATTTTAGTATAACAGTGGTTATTGTATCATGTATAATTTTGTTAATATTTAATTACGAAAATTTTTAAAAAATTTTAAATTAGCTACCACAATGTTTATTAATAAGAACATTTGAATACTTTAAAAATATTTTCATTTATATATCTCATTCTTTAAATATAAAAATATTTTATAATTTTTAAAGTGAAATATTCTATTTATTATTGAATAGATAGTTATTTAGTAAATTCATATCAGAAAATTTAATTCTTCCTAATTGTAATAAACTTCTTTACAAATATATATATATGTGAAAAAGTAAATGTAAAAAATAAAAGAATAAAACTTTCATCTGTTTAAAGCTCGACTTCGATATTTTTAGTAATAATAATGAAATATCGCTTTTTCTTGTTACCGAAAGTTGCAGTTTTTGAAGCGACTTATCATCCTTGTCTTTCATCTGGCTTCCTTGTCTTTAGCTGTTTACTTTCGACCTGCAGAAATTGATAACGAGCTTACAAAATGGCCTGAGGAAATAACGGATGTCGTTCGCGTCATTGCTGAGTGTATTACGATCCTAGGTGTCTTAGGTTACATATTATTACAGCTTGGCGGTGAAATCGTTAATATTGGTTTCATCTCATTTTTGAAACAGTTGGTATGGAAGATTTATTATTACGATCTATTTATCGATCCATTCATTGATAAAAAAATAATGAAAAATAAAATCGTAGAAGTCATTTTTGAATCTATCATTTTTGAAATCTACATTTTCGTATAATAGTTAGATTCATTTTTACGCGAAGCGCTATAAAATTATTTAATAAACTTCAAATAAAATTTTAAATCTGAAGTAAAATATAGGTATTATAAATATGAACATAATAATACAAATAAAAAATATTGATCTAATCTCAATAAAAATTTATTTTCAGAGTCACGAGCCTGCTAAGTTTATATTTCTCCTTAGCAACCTCCTGATTTTGGCTTGCATTCCTTGTAGATTATCTGGTGACAGACATGCGGAAGATGCTATTCTTGTTGTTGCTGTCCCTGGCTCTTGGTTTCTTCTCATGTTTTTTGCTGGGTATGCAGATCTAAAACAGATTGTGTTATATTTTTATTTTAATAATTTTATACACATCATTTTATTTAATTTAATACAATTTAATTTTAAGATAGATATACAGTGTGTTTTAGTACAATATGTAAATAAATTATTTTTGATGATAAGCTTTTGCATAGCATCGAATAAAAATTCTAAATACAAATATTTATGTTTACACACACACACACGCGCGCGCGCGCGCGCACACTGTAAGTAAACTATAGCATGTATATCACATTTATATGTATAGGTGTTTTATTTTTGATGCCCATTTTAAATCGATTTATTATTATTATCAGATTTTTTTAAGTTATATTTATAATATAATAATATAAATAAATCTCCAAATATATATACCAATAATTCTTCTTTTTTTGGGTTAACGTATGTTCTATTTATATACTATATTTCTTTAAGTAAATTAGTGTTTTCTGAACTTTTTTTTGATAAATAAGCAAACACACTTTAATGAAAAATGTTTCTAATCAAATACTAAATTCATTCAAATTTCTTAAATATAAATAAATTCATAAGAATTATTTTTAATATTATAATGAAAACTATAATTTCCTTTATATTTGAACTAATCCATAATAATATATGTCTGGATATAAGGATTTTACATAGTTTTTAAAATGGTTTAATTATAATTATTTTAATTTTATAATACCTTAAAATAAATATAAATATTTCGATTGGAATAAAGTATTTATTAAAAAATTAGTGTACGGAATAATAATAAAAATTTCTATATAAAATTATTATCCGAAAAATGTTTTAAAGCATTAAGTATAAAAGAAATCCTTGGAAAAGGGTAATCTAAAAAGGTCTGTTTCTTAAAGGACTATAAGAGTCTTGAACAGCACGTATTCGCCCGTTACTTCGCAATCGGATTTATAATGTCGGAACTCAAATCCAGATTTCTTTCTTACGAATCTTTCGACCACATACCTCTACTTCTATTTTAGAAGTATAGTTTACGCTTCCGAAACTTTTCGGTTTCCGTGACTTGCTTCAACTCATTGTGTCAAAGTCTACAATTTTCGAGACTTGCATACGAAAATTCAAAATTTCGAAATCGTATTCTTTTTCTCGTGTTATTACAAAATTTAAAAAATCACTGTTTATAAATTTATTTAAAAGGATAATAATGGAATGATTACCGTAAAAATTTTATCGGGTAAATTTTTTTTAAAAAAATGATGTAATATTTCAATAATTTTGCAGAGCATTTTCCGTAGTTTGTAAATTTCTTAAATAATTAACTTAAAAAATTTATTACTATTAAAAAATTAAGATAATAAAGAATATTTTATAATATGAATAAGTTAAAGATATATTAAAAGTAATAAGAATCTTCAATTAATACTGTCGTTTTATTTTAATAAAAATTTGTTTTATTTGTTAAAAATATTGTATATGATTTATTTTGATATTTGAATGTATATTGGAAAAAATAACTAAAATAAAATAACTTGCAATCACGTGGATAGAGCCCTATATTTAAAACAGAAAAATTAATTTTGTAATTACATAATCTTTGAATTCAAGTTCTATCATCGACTCCTTGATATTATTATTTTTAACTTCAATATAATTTAAATAATTTAAATTTTTCACGTATCTTTTCTTTACTTGTCTGCATTGAGTATTTAACCAGAATTCGAGTAAACACGAGATCATAACTTATCTAAACGAATGCCGCGTACGTCATGTTATACCATCAGGTGTGACCGCATTCCAAAGTCCCTTTAGCATTTGAGTGTACGTACACTTTGGAGCGCATGCTTCCTCTCAGTATCCTTTTTATCCATATCAGATGATTTATGTAAATTTTCAAGTATTATAGCATAAATATACAGCAGTGCTTTCGAGAGGACAGCAATATTGTATCTATGAACAAGGTCGTCTTCACACTTTGTTAGACATCATAATGAATTATCCGCCATTCTTAACTAGTTTTCCACTATAAATTTCAGATCTATAGATAAACACACACAGAGCGAGAGAGAGAGAGAGAGAGAGAGAGGCACAGAGCTTGTAATATATGATTGTGATGAACAGTGTATATTAGTGAAATATAAAAGAGGGCGAAGATTCAATTAAATTCAAAATTACTTTAGTAATTTGCAATTTAACAGATATAAGGTTGAAGTTTTCTTGAAGTATAAGAGATATATTAGCGAAAAATTCTCTATAAATACATAAAATTAAGTTTAATTTCTGAAATTGATATTTAATAAGAGTTCGTATGACGTACGATTAATTCAAGTTTGTCAAATTATATAAATTTTGTCTGAATACGAAAAGCAATTCTTTATTTAATTTATTACATTTACTGTTCAATTTTCATTAAAACTCACTATATAATATCTGTAATTATAATTGTATATAAATGTATTGTACTAGCAGACAAATGAATCTATTGAATAGTAAAGTGTTCATAAAAAGAAGGATATTAATTTATATTTGGATCAGCTTTATAAGAAAAGAAAAAAACAATATAATGATAATCAGCTCACAAATTAAATTAAATTATTGATATTGATAAAATTCTTAAGAAAATCAATAATTTTTTAAATAAAAATTAATATTTACAATGATATATTATATTTTACAGTAGTATTCAGTATTAATTCTCAAATTTCATTAAAAATTTTCATGAAGTCGCACTGATAATATTAAGAGGCAGGTTTAATGAAAGAAATTTTTGTTGATAGTAAAATATGTGAAAACAGTACTTGCTTAAACATGCTATCATATTTATAATAATTATACATGTACAATTAAATTTATTACTCATTTTCAGCGCTTAGTGATACTAATACATTAAGGATTCTTTACATTAAAATTTTATATATAATTTGGTTATTAGTTAGTGAATTTATGTATAAAAATCTGTGTCCTTTTAAAAACTATTTAAATATATAAAAAGTTAAATAAAATACATAAATATATACTTTACAATGCTTTTATGTATTCCTGAATTTCATTAAATAAATATTTTATTTATGAGACATGCAATATTATATTTATGAAGATATACATTTAATTAATTAAAAATATTTTTTTGACGATCTTTTCTATCATTGTATATAATGTATATGTAATATATACAATGTAGATAGAAAAATATATGAAATTAAAATACTGATATTTTATAAAAATTTAAGAAAAATTTCATATATTAATAATCAAAATTTTCAACCGATTACAGATATTTTTTTATTTTATTACACATATTTATCAAATGTATGTGTATTTTTCTTTCTGAAATAATATTATTAAATTCTTGGTTAAGGAAAATTTGTTCTAAAATGCAATAGTTATTAAGTTTTTGAGAGTCATTGTGAGTACTGTAAATGAAGTAATATTTTTATTAAAATGTTTATAGAGATGAAAAGCATATTCATCTGCTACTAAATATGTTACTAAATATGTTAACAAATTCGAAATTATATAAAGTTAAGCGAAAGTGCAACAAAGAAATGATTAAATTAATGTTAATATTTACAATGAACAATGACCATTGAAGAAATCTTTTACCAATAATTATGTATAAAAAAATTAAATAAGAATGTTTAAATTTTATCATGACATATTTAAATTACGTTTTTTTGTATCATTGGACTTTTAAAATGTAATATATAAGCTTGTACGAATTAAATAAATATAGAATAGAAAAATTGAATGTGGATTATCTTGATTGATAATTTAATTTGCATAAATGTTGTAAGGATTATAATTAATGTTTTTTTTTAATTTTCAATAAATGTATATAGTTCATACAGATAATAAAAATGCGAAGTTACTATATAGATATTAAATAGTAATAAAAACAATCAATTTTATTATGATATTTAACAAATGAATAAATACTGCAGAATTTAAAAATAGTAAGTTTATGCAGTTTGTTTATGCTGTATTATAAATTATTTAATAAATATTCATAAAATTTTATTTTCCTCATATCTAGTGCTAGATAATATTTCTGTCTTTTTCTTGAATTTAAAATAAATATATTAATGCACTTATATTTATTTGGTATTGTTTGGCTTTATTAACGGTAAAACATTATTAGGTTCGTAATGTCACTTGCAAGAGTTGTTCAATTATTATGTTTTTTACATACGCCCGCGGTATCACGAGCATAAATATAGTAGATACAACGGATTGCTCACTACTAGGATTGTCTAACAAACTGAGACCCTGAGGAAGGTTCTGTCGAACGACAAAATTACGTAATTGCTTCTCACTCATTTGTAGAACGGTATCTCACAAGATCTTAATATTTGTAGAAATTTTGGAATTTGGATTTAGATTTTCTTTGATTCCTGTCTCTCTTGGGTTTTTACTACTCTCTTTCTCATTTCCTTTTGTTTCCTTGTACTATGGGTTGATAGTAACAACTGAATTTGCTATCATAATAGAACGTGAGCGTAATACTGAATTGCGATAATATTATAATAGAATGAAAATCTATTATTCATTGTATCATTGCTCATGTATATATGTTTAATGTTCCAGACTTCATGTCAGATAATTCGGTTGCTACACTATTATTAATTTTTGAATTTCACATTTTGCCCGTTCTTTTATTATAATATTTCATGAGTGACTAATGAATTAATGAATTGTACGACTTTTCAATTTTTTATACTCTTAAAAAGGATAGAAGAAAACAAAATCGATAAATAAATGAACATAAGTATATGTTAATTCAGTAAAACCAAAAGATTACGGCCAAAAATAATTACAAATGAGTGAGTCATGCATTTGTCAAAACTTTAATTTTAATTGTCTTTAATTTTCTTCTACAATTTTACTTGGTACTTAAATTGAATAATTTTATCTATTGTGTATATAAATTGAATTAATTATTCTTCGACTAACTCATGTTTAATAAATTCAAATTTAATGAACAATTTAACATTATTTAGTTAATTTTTATAATTTAAAATTATTACTAATTTTATGTATTTATTTAGTAAATTAAAACATAATAAATGTTAAATGAAACGTATATATATTTTATTATCATTTGATTTATTAATTATAAAATATTGTAGTTTTCAATTAAATATTGACTTCTTTCAATTAAAAAGTTAAGTTTATATGCTTAATTATATTCTAAAATTATAATTATATTATTAATAACATTGTTCTTATTATTATAATAAATTATTATTAATATTATTATTAAATTATATTATTGCTAATATTATTACTATTATTATATTATATTAACATGGTTAATTTTGAACTATTAATAATATCAACATAAATTTCAATTTACTTAGTACATATGTGTAAATAGAGATCTATAAATAACAATTAAAAATAAAGAATAAAAATCTCGAAAGTTATGTCTACTATATATAATATAATAACTGTGAACAATTATAATATCCGTAAGATAATATGGTGAAAGTGAAAGATATAAATAAAGTGAATGATAATGTGCTAAATTTCAAATAGAACATTATAATTTAATTTTAATTTAGGCCTCTGATAAATTTTATGAAAAATAATAAAAATATAACAAAAATTATTATAAAATGTTAACTATAGTTACATGAAATAAATATTAACTAATAAATAAATATTTTATGTAGCTATATTTTAGTAGAATAAATAGGAACTTACGTTATGTCTACATTATGCATAAAAAGGCAAAGAAATCTTTCATAATACAGAATTACAGTCATTAAAATTGACTTATAGAACATACAAATTCAGTTAAGGTAATTTATTTTGATAAAAATAATATAGAATATATAATAACTTAAATTCGCAGAAAAAGTTTAAATAAAAATTTAAAAAGCGGCATATGATATAAGCAGTTACCATTGTGTGGAATAAAGTTACACGCTCACAAGTATCGATCAATTATCTTAAGCGATTCGAAATCATTCGGAAAATGATCACGAATTGCCACCTTTTGGAGTTCTTATTATTAAGTTTCTTATTATATTAAATTTCCAAGTTATTGAGTACTTTTAAGTTTTTTTAGTAGATTGCAACTATATTTCCTGCAAACAAAATTCTAATGGTGTTAAAATAAAGTAGTCTACAGAAGCGAGAAAACTAAAGCTAATAAGATATTTATCCCGAATCAATATATGGACTAATTAAAGAGAATACATATTCTCCAAGATAAAATATATACGTATAAATAGATTTTCATATTTGCGTGTAGATGTGTACATGCCCAGCTGTTCATAAATACATTACTTATAAAGTAAAAAGAATACCCTCGTAAACTCTTTTGCAGCCAATTATCTATAAACCGAGTACCACCACTTTAAGAATGCCTTTTTTCTACCTTTCGAGCAGTTGCGCTTCACATATTTCAGGATTTTGGTATCTGAATTGGAGTACCTACTTCTCGTCTATGAATTATGCACCCATCTGATTACTGATACGATATGAGAGTAAGCGCATGCTGACGCTGAATTTTTCTTATAAAAAGCAAGCTCTGATATCTCTCAAAGTACCGAGGTTACGCAGCTCTTCTGGATATCCTTCAGAAAATATTGCACCGGCGTTTTAATGTGATTTAAATTTATTATTTGAAACTGCAGATCTGAATTATTGCTTAATTTATAATACTTTTATATAAATACAAAGATTTAAAATTTTTTTTTATGATTGTTCTATATTTTTTAGTTTTACAGATTTTACATATTAGAATATTTATAATATATAATAATGTAGACGTGATTCTTGCACGTTTCTCGAAGTTTATTTAGACATTGGATATTATTTATTAAAATTGTTTTTCAAATGTATTCAAAATTATAAATCTTAATATTTCTTAAATATTACCTAGTTATATTATTATAATTGATTTAACGTTTATTATAATTACATATAATATGTAAAATTTATGGAATAATTGAGTAACGAAATTTTTTAAGAGTAGGAAAAAATTAATATAATAATAATATGATAATAATAATAATAAAAATAATATGATAAATATAAAGTAATATAGAAAATTATAATTTTATATTTGAATTTTTATAATTGTCCTAAACTACAAATTTGTGTTGCAAACGTCTTCTTGAGCCTTTAATAAATCTTATATTTAATTCCTCAAATATAATGAATTATGGAATATATATAATATTTTAAAATGTTATACATTTAATATTTGATTATTAATGTTTTTTAAGTAAAATTAAGATATTTTCAGTAAAACTTATCTAATTCAGATATTTTATTATATTAATACATATACCTCATATTATATGTTTAGACCATATTTTATATTAGACAAAATTTTGAAGTTAAAGGGATTTCAGATTGTACAGCTTATGAAAAACATGAAGTTTACGTTACTTCCTTGTAAAATATTAAATTTTATATTAAAACTTTAATTTCAATTAAAATATAATTGCCAAATAAGTAACTATTAAATCTTCATGTTGTTTTAGGGCAGTTCGACTTACTGGGCCCTTCGTCACAATGGTTTATAGTATGATAACGGGTGACATGCTAACTTTCGGCATAATTTACATGGTTGTCTTGTTTGGTTTCTCTCAGTCGTTTTACTTCCTTTATAAGGGCTTTCCAGGAGTAAAAATGACTCTCTATCACTCCTACCACTCAACATGGATGGCATTATTTCAGATAACTCTTGGCGATTACAATGTAAGACTTTTGTATGGTTTATTTTAGTGTATTTTTGTATCATACGACAACATTTTATTGCAGTTCAATACTTCCAATAAATTAAACTGTTTTTATTTAAATTTTTTTACTATAATGCACTTACAATTTTAAAAAGAAACAATATTTTTTAAGTTTGCAAAGTGATAGTACTAGAATAATTTTTTATCGAGTTAATCATTTCAAAATAAGTATTAAAATATTTTTAGGTAGCCGATATAATGAAAATTAATTATAATAAGTTATAATTTTACCATCTATGTTAGATTTTTGTTTTATTTTACAGTATAATAAAAAAAAACAACATATATTTAATTAATTGTATCTTTATATTTAATGTAATTAGCAATTAATAAATTAATTTACCTGTTTAATGCGATTAATATGTGATTACTAAAATTAATAACAATTCAGTCATTCAAAGTCATTAAAATAACTCTAAATTCTTATTATTGTCAATATGTAATTATTTAATGATAGCTTTTAATAAATATGTCTGAACACAATTTTTAAATTGAGGTTAATGTTGACACTATTTGTATTGTAACCTTAAAATTCGAAGTAATATATTAAATTGTTGAAAGAAGTATACAATAATATTTTGCTCGTGAAATATAAATATCTAATGTAATAAAATATGTATACATTAAAATAAGAGTTTTAACAAATTTAATCTACAAAAAAATTATTTTAAAAATTACTTTTTGAATATATACGTGATATTTAAACATATTACTAATTTCCATTTAAAATATATTAGTATTACTTGTTGAAAAATTTAAGTATTATATTTTGCTAATCTTAAATTTGTACAATATAACTTTATCTAGTTATAAATTGTTTTTTGAAATGTTGCCAGTATGATTTTTCATAATAACTTTAAAATATATTAAATTTTACGTATATAATTTTCAAGCGATAGTGTATATATAGTTAAGTATAATAATAACTAATTATAAAGAATAGTAGACACAAATTTTATCAATATTTTTTGTATTTAAAGTATTAAAATTTACGTATAGTTTTTTTTTAAATCATAGGGAAAAAATATATATTTTTTAATTACTTATTACTAAGACAATAAAAAAAGTTTGAAAATTATCTTTTACAATTTTATTTGACAATGTTGAATAGAACATTATTTTTGTTTATACTTGGCGAATGCTCTGAGAATAGATTTGCTCTTTAAATCCGCTGGAGCAATATTTCAACAAATAATAATACCAACTGAAAATAGTAAAATAAAAAACAAAATTAATACAGTCACTAGATAAAAATGTTTTTATGATTAAACATAAATTTTTATGATTGATCAATCCGAGTTATCATCGAGTTTTAATTAAATTTATAACATGATCTTCGATCGTATAAGCAAAAAAGCAAAAGTGCAAATGGACAGAAACAGGCCCGCAAAATAGGGGGGCAGTAAGCTCGACGAATTGTTATATTAGTTATCGATTGACACTTGCGCAAATGGACTATGATAAAACCTTACGACACTCTTGGATTTCAAATGGGACGCTTTTAGCCCCGGCAATATGTCTATTGGCTTTATCGTCTTCATTCACTGGATTCATAGAGCTATTTAAAATAATTCGATAAGGATACAGAGCTACTGCTTATACGTTTTGAATGATGGTTACAATATTTATTCGATTTTAGTTTTTTCATCAAATAAATTATAAAGTTAAAAATGGATGTGGGATATCATAATATATAATTTAAAATGTAAATTTAGTTCATAACATGTTTTATAAAAATGAAAAATAAATTAAAAAAATATTTATGTTTACAATAATTGAAGATTAATTTTTTAAAATAATATTCAAATTTTAATACAAAAGATTCTTCCTAGTTACATTTAATATTTATATTAAATTTTCAAAAATATTTAAAACCAGTAAAATAATTGTTTAATTTTAAGTATGTCGCATGTCTTAATAACCAATGTTATTAGTCATATTATTTGTACTGTAAGCAATTCATTTGGTTAAAAAATTTACATAGTATACATAGTAATTACATAGTAATATATAAAAGCAAACGTTAATTCATTTATTGGTTTTTTTAATAGTGTCATTAGAATTTATCATCTAATTTCAAACATAGAGCTAATAATTAAAACATTTACTGAATTTGAGTAATTTATGCATATCAATTTTTTTCTTGCATCAACATTTTAACATTGATGAAACATTGAAAAATAAAAAATTATTTTACCAATATGACAGAATAAGTATATATTTGTAGGTAAAAATAGTATTACTTATTAATATAATGCATATAATTGTATTCAAATGTCATTTCTTAAATTACTTTTCTATTTTTATATATTTTTATTTATATATATTTATATATATATTTATTATTTATTTATATATATTATATATATACGGACACGCATGGAAAAGTAAATCACGGAATGCTTAATTATGCTTAAATAGTATCTGTTTTTTCTCCGTCGGCTCTAGATTGATATGTAAGATGAATATTGGAAGATTTAATTATTATTTCTTTAAGTAATATGTCTCTTCTTTATAAAATAATGTAAAATTAAAATTCATTATTACACTTCTATAGTTATTTTTTAAATCTCTTTAATTTCTTTAACATAGAATAGTTACAAGCAGTGTTATGTTGATAAATAAAATATTTCAATAATATTCAATAATATTTTCAATAATATTTATTGAAAAATCAATAGAATTTAGATTAATACATTATATAATTATACAAGCTCTGTGGATTTATGATATATACTATTTAGTATATTTATTACTATGAAATAATAAATTTGCTCAATTAAAATAAAGAATCAAGAAAAGACAAGTAAAATGTAAAATTTTTTAAAAAAATTTACGTAGATCACAAAATAATATCTACTCAAGTTTTTATTGATTATTTTATTTTATTTTATCAGTTTGTCTAATTTTTATTAATTAGGAACTATTTTAAGTCCTCACCGTAACCAAATTAAAAATATTCTATTTTTATTCATAATATTGATTGTATTCATAACATATTAATTTTTTAATTGATTTTGTAGAAATATTTTATCAATTCAAATATTTTATGAAAAAAATTCTTATTTATTATTTATAAAATTTATATTTGATGTAATTTTTTGTCTTAATCTATTTTCGGAAGTTCTTGAAGCCTACTAATACATAGGTTACTCGTAATTCACGTTTACCATCATACTATGAATGTGAAATATATTATATATATGAAATATATAATGTTAACAAAGATGAGAATAATAATGAGTAATTTATACGACGAAAATAAAATAAAATAATATCTACATAATATTAAAATATAAAACATAGATTGTGTAAACTAAATTATACTTATGTTATCATTTTTTATTGATTGATGCTATGATATTATATATAAAATATAATGGTTATTGTGAACATTAATGTGTTATTATAGCAACAGTTGAATTATGATTACATAACACGTCTATATAGTTATTGTGTATAATAAACAATATAATTTTATAACAAATCATAAGTACAATTTTTTATCATTATATACAATAATTTCATTGTTACCCACAAGATATTTAACTTATATCATCAACTATTATTAAAAAAAAATTCATCACACAATAATATATAAATATTATTATATTTATATCTATTTAAGATGTTATATATAAATAAAATGTTTCTATTTAATTTTCGTTCAAGTTTAAAAGTTAACACACATTTAAGGAAAATATTATGTATTTATTTTGTTAGTACACAGATTTAAGTAATACGACCTATCCAAATCTCAGCAAAACAGTATTTGCAATTTTCATGGTCCTTGTACCGATTTTACTACTCAATATGTTGATAGCGATGATGGGAAACACATATGCACATGTAATTGAGCAGAGTGAGAAAGAGTGGATGAAGCAGGTAATATACAATTAACTTGTCTTTATAAATATTAACTATATAACCTGTCATTAAACAAAAAAATAAATACTTTACCTCAGATTCACCGAAGTACACATTTGTTAACTTAATAAAATGATCTTTAACAACAAAATGTGTTATTGAAAAATAGTTCATAAATATAAATTATGCGAAGGATTTTAATGTAAAAATATAAAAATATTATATTTATAATTATCCGACAATTTACATCTTTTTGCATATTTCTTATAAATCATCTATATAAATTGTTATTATTAAAAAAAATATATTTAGCAATACTAACCTATATTAAAATCACTGCATATTTTGAAGATGATATGTATTTATTTTAAATTTATACATTGGATTAGAATAATAATTAATTTGTATTTAATTTGATAAATTTAAATAATATTTGTAAATTATCTATAACTATGACCATTGTTCATATTACAGTTATGCAAACTCATTATATAATCTATATATTTCATCAGATATTTTATCTGGTAATATGATATAAAAGGAAATATTACTATGATTACATACAGTCTATAATTATTATTTTAATTAAAAATACTGTTTTTATCACATATAATTTATATAATATTCATTACTATATATTATCTAGTACATCGAATAATTAGCTTTTATAGAAAATATTGTGAATCAAGATTGGTTCATATATAATTATAATGAATATATCATGTCTAATGTAAAGTTTTGTAATGTTTAAATAATTGATAGTGGGTTATTTAACTTTTTTTTTTAATTCTAAATTCTAAAGCATATATTTTATAAATAAAATTATTTAAGATCGTGTATTTATCTTATTTGAATTAATAATTAAATATATATGATTATAATTATTTTTATATTTATTTTGATTTATCTACTTTATTAATAAATGGACGTAAGCTTCGCTTATTATTTTATATATTTTTTTTGTTATTTTCTTTTTTAATGTGATATAATAATGAATTATTTTTTTAAATTTAAGTTGAATGAATTGTAATACAATACATAAAATTTAAATGACTGTACGTAGATTTTATTCTAAATATGAAATTAATATTTTATTACATTTCATACTCATCAGTAAGCTGACTTTTAGTCGTATTAGTTGGTTCGGGAAGTCACTCGATGAGTCCAAGCACGTAATTTATTATTATATATTATTTTTATAATTCGAGCTTTGAAAGTTTAATAATAAAGAATTTTTATGTTTGTTATTTTTATGCTATTTTGATGTTATTTGTTATGTTTATTATGCTCTAATATTTAATAAATTTGTGGTGAAATATTTCCTGAAGTAAGTAATTCTAGTACTCCTTATTTACATTTATACAAGATTTGCATAATTAAGTTTTGTTAGTAAATTATTGATTTAGTAAATTATTTCTTATTTACGTACAGTAAAACATAAAATATTATATACATATAGTTAATAAATAAAGTTTAAATATTGGGATAATGAATATCAATGCAATACTTAATTAACATTTTAAATAAGAAAATTTTAAAAATGCAGTCGAATGGGTTATTTATCAATCAATAAATTAAAAAATATTTACTTTTTAAATTTTACAATAACTTCCATTTATTAAATAATATGGAAATATCTGATTCTGGAAAATAAATATTCATACTAAAATTACATGTGAATATTAAAAATTTTTTTATTATTCCTTTTTAATTATTGTATTATAATTTAATTATGTTATTATTATTATTAAATTACACATTTCTTACATTTATTAAATTAATATAATGAGGATGTAATTGATATGATATATTTATAATCTTATCGTGTTATTACAATAATGTACATAAAAGTTATATGCAATTTATTTCAAATTTATAATTCTACGATTAAATGCTAAAATAAAATTCCTATATCGTGTTATTTTCGAAATTCTAATATTTGGTTTTATACAAGTGTAAATGTATTATAATTATAATAAAATGGAAAATCAGTTAACGTGCGCAGTTAAATATATTGTATATGTGTAAGTTCATAAGAAATAATTTGATTAGTGAATAAGAAGTAATATAAATACGGCAAAATATTATATATATATATATTTATATATATGTAATAAATATAATATACTGTGTCTGTATGAATATGTGCATGTGTTTGTGTGCGCGCGCGCGTGGGTGGAAATCATATCCCAGTTAATTAATTAAAAATAAAATTTGAGATCATTTTAAAATTTGCTTTGTTATCTTAATTTTTTACTTTTTAAGCTGTATAAATAAACATTTATGTGAAACATGCATCTAATTCTATTGCTGTCATTAAAAACCTAGATAAAATAGAATCTTTTTAAGATTTTTATGCTTTCATATTTATTTCTTTTCGTATACAGTGGGCAAAAATCGTGGTTTCACTAGAACGCGCTGTATCCCAGAAGGACGCACACAATTATTTGCAAGAGTACAGCATAAAATTAGGCCCAGGGGACAACCCCAGCGATCCCGCCTCTGAGCAGCGTGGTGTCATGGTTATTAAGAGTAAATCTAAGACCCGGGCTAAACAACGCAAGGGGGCCGTCTCTAATTGGAAGGCATGCTTATTTTTAATTATATATGTTTCATTTGCCTCAGGCTTTGGTGTTACTTCCGTTCTGAATTTGCACTTCCTTTGTCTTTCTTTATTTGTTTTTATTTTTCTTATTTGGACACTTTCCACGAACGGTAATAAATTGCAATGATTATTGGTCCTAATTTTCGTAATACACAAAATCATTACTTTTATAACACAATATAGATGTCAAATAAATCATGCTATTGTTGATATATTATTATAGACATATATATATATATATATATATATATATATATATATATATATATATATATATATATTTGTGTGTGTGCATATGCAAATACTTATCTGCTGTGGAGGAATTCAGCACTATGCTTCATCATTTTTTTTATCATTTTTCTGGAATTTACACTACATTACTAATTAATTATTTCTAATATAAAAACTATTTTCACAGTAGGTTCAGGTTTTGTACTTTTTACATATGAACATATTGTAGTATTCAATTGATATCGTATTCTTTATATGGTTAAATATTGCTAAGTTATATCAACCTACTATTAATAAAAATTATTTAGTTAAAAATTCTTCAATATTTATTATCATTCAATTATTTATAATTTATCAGATATATTATATTATTTACTTTAGAGACAGTTTGAGAAAATAAATTTCTAGTTGATTTTATGTATTTAATCATACAATTTCTTATTTCCCATCTATATATGAATATATTTATATACATTAAATAAATAAATAAATAAATAAATATATATAGATATTATTTTTTTGATAAACTTTATTTATTATTATTTTAATAAGGCTCTGTAAGAAAATGATATTTAAAATTATAAAATAATTTTGTATAAAGAGTAAATACCAGTCTCTTTCATATTTACAATTACTAATGCTCAAAAATATTGATCTATCAATATTTATTTTTTCATTCAATAGAAATTTTTTATTAAATTTTGTTTCAATTATGCGAAAATTATACAAAAAATTAAATATCAAGAGATGTTGTATATATTATATATATATATATATATATATATATATATATATATATATATATATATTATATAACCATGAACTAGGTATAAATCTCAGTTTGCACATTGATAATATTATACGTAGAGGTTTCTTGCATTTTATAGAAATTGAATTGAGTTATAATAAAATGAGATATAATTTTTGTCAGAAATAATGCAGCTTTACACATTAACAATTTATGTAAATCTGATTACGGATAATGCAAATATAAAAATAGAATCGAAAATTAAACTGAATTTTGTATAATTAATTTATATTAGTTTATCATAATACAGACACATGTGAATGATATTTGTGTACCGATAAATTTCATTTTTATTACATGATTTTCTTTTCTTTTACTGGCTACATGCTTGAGCTAATTTATTTTACTTAAATTCATTCTCTTTTTTTTAACACTAATTCAACTGTAACTCATGAATATTATTAGTTACACTGTTATGCGTAAAATTTGTACAGAGAGTCGGAAAGGTAACGATCGTCGAGTTAAAAAAGCGCGGTATGACCGGAGAGGAGCTGCGTCGTATTATGTGGGGCCGTGCGTCTTTTTCCACGCCAATCAGGTCTAGGTAACTACTGCACGTGTAAATATATATATATATATATATATAACTTTTAAACTTATTTGTTGTTTTGTTGATTGATAGTTTGAATTACTTATTAGATTTATACGATAACATTAATTATGTGAAGGATATGCAAAATTCATTAGAATGATTGGAAGAATTTTGATATTCATAATTTTTTTGTTATTATTTCACAAACTATTTAAATTTATATAAGGACTCACTAATATAGAAATTCCTTCATTTTATTAGTTTGAGATTTTCTATTTTTATTTTATTTTTATTTCATAATAGATTTTGAGATTCTTGCTTATGGATATTATTAATTTATTATAATTTATTATTAAAATTTGATCCTTACATGATTACTCAATATTTTATATATTTTTCGATAATTTTATCTTCTATATATATAAAGCTTTTGTATAAATACTTATTCTATTTCTCTCTAATCCATGCATGTATTAAATATTACTCTATAAAATAAATTAAAATTTTGATGCAGTTTAAAAGGAAGAAGTGGATGTCTGTTATTAGTTTATCTTGTAATAATTTTACAAAAAATTATATATACATAATACTAGCATATACAATTATTATATAGTTATAAATAATTAAAATAAGTTTATTTAAAAATTAGTACAGAACTTTTAAGTTTTATATCTTACACATTTTCATGCGTAATTTAACTTATAAAACGTTATATATGGAAAAATTAATAAATATATAATATATTTTACGAGTTTCATTAACTAATATTGATCTAAATAAAAAAAAATTACTAATTACATAAAATTAACTTTTTAAGGACAAAATTTTAAAACTTTTAACTACATTGAAAGAAGTTAAATAAAAACGTAAAGCAGGTTAAAGGTATTAAACATCTTTTGCAGATTCCGGAATATAAATAAATAAACAATAAATATAATGGTAGAATAATGAATATGATGGAATAATAATGAATATAATGGCAAATATTTTTTACATTATAAATTATATTTTTAATAAATTTGTGTTTCCTAAACGTCTTCCCATTAAATAAACAATTGCTCTAATTATTTAAAATTGATTAATATGTCTTACATTATACACCAATACAAATATTAAGTAATTACAGATATATACTTTAATTTTTTCAAGACAATTAATCAATTGTTTTAATAGAACATAATTTACGTTTCTTGTTAAAAGAGAATTATAAAATTATTCAATTATAAAAGTTTAAAGTATTTCTATTTTCACTTTAATAATCTGAATAAAATATTATTTTATTTCATCAAAATATTAATATAAAGAGATATCAATAAGCTATAAATCAATGAAAAATTGATATAAAATATATTAATAATTAATTATAATTTCGTTAATTTTAATCCTGAAAATTAATCCCATTAATTTAATCAAGGTTCACTTCATCAGTATGTATTAGTTCGAACATCTACTTTTTGCCAAAGTTCTTCAAATAGTTTTAATTAAAATTCTTTGTACTTCAAGTACTTAAAACTTTCAAAATAATAGAAACGGTTCATACTATTGAAGTAAAGAAAGCAGAATTCATTAAAGCATTCCGCAGCTAAAATAAATTTTTTCAGTAGACTTAGTTCTCTCAAGGTCTCCCTTTAATCAAAATAACCAAACTAATTCTTGACTCTTTAAGTCCAATTCTGGAGCAACCAATGCCAAGTGCGCCGAGCGACTTTGGTGACGTTCTTACCACTGCTCTCGACGTAATGACATTCGCGATCGACGTATCTACACACCCAGAGAACTTATCGAAGTTACCTCAGCAGACAGCAGCCGAAATGAGACTCTCAACAACAAACATTGCAGCTTCAAAGACAACCGAAAAAGTGGATGATAGAGGGCTACCTCCCTTAGACTCAATTAATAGGTCAACTGGTAGGTACAATTTCTTTTCCTTTCATGAAAACAATCTGGATTTTTGTATTACTTAGATCAGTTAGAAAAATTAAAAATTTTCACAATACTTAAATATCAATTAAGACAATAAAATTTTTGTTTTATATATAAATATAAATTACGGTACTTTATTTTTCATTGAGCTCCTAAATGCTAATACCGGATTTCTTATATTTTATAGTGAATATATCGAATTATATAGAAAATTAATTATATAAGATTTATATTAACTAACAAAACTTTAGAGCTTGTTGCTATTTTTTCGAAATAAGCTTTAAAACATTAATAATAGTAGAATTGGACTTATATAATTAATGATTTTTTTATTATACTTTTTATATAAATGTTATAAACATTATAATAATTCCTATGTTAGTGGTGATCAAATGCATATATAATTTAAGGATAATTGTGAATTATTTATTTTATCGAGTATAAAATCATTAAAAAGTAAACTTCAAAAGTAAAATTGAATTATACAGAGTTTTTGCATATCTCTAAATAAATCTAAATTTCTGTAAAAATATCATAGTTTATCATATAGTAATTGTATATTTATCCTTTAGAATGTAACCAATAGATTTTTTAGCATTTTTTGAATATATATATTTTATAAGTATATATATATATATATATATAGATTGATTATTTGATGATATAAAATATAACTTGTATAAAAATAAATATTCGTATATTATATTTATATATTATGCATAAATTAAATGTTAGTCAGATGATTTTATAAATAACCAATAACTAGTTTTTCATTATTAGATCATTTTTAAATTACTGTTATATAAAATATAAATCATATATATGTTGGTTATAAAATATAAATGATTGTATAAAGAGTTAGATATATGATTTTCTGCCAAAAAACTAATATGTTATATGAAATAAAAAAAAATTAATCATCTGTTTATCATGTTATAAGTAATATTTTATGGTATTAAAATAAATGTAAAATCAAAAAATTTATTTTTATTAATAATTTATATTTTTTATATAAGTTTATATTCAATTACAATTACATTATTAGTATAAATAATAAAAAATAAAAATAAATGATAGAAAAAAAAACTGATAGATAATATTAATAAAAACTTTTAATTTGCAATCCTGAGAATGAAAAGGATATATATTAAGTATTTTGTTAATGACATTTATATATGAGCTACAATATGTTAAGAAGGGTGAATATACTTATTTCGTAAGGACGAGGATTGTCACATAATTTTTATAAATAATTTTCTTCTTTTCAATATTAATTGCGAATATAGTTTCAATAGAATTTAATTTTCGTTGAAGATTCTAATAGCTTTTAATCTTCTACAATGTGAAAAATCATTTAATATTATTATATTTTATAATTTACACTATATACAGAATATTAGCGCAGTGTGCATCTATACATATATATACATACATACTGTAAAAATGATTTAAAAATATTGTATTCAGATACAAAATGATTTTCTAGCTATAGCTCTGAATTTAGGATAATATTTTGAATTCAATCAAAAATTTCAAATTCAATTAAAAAAATCATTACTACAAAAATGTCTTTAAAAATATTATTACAATTTTGCAGAAATATATCTATAAATTAGATATGAACGAACATCTTTTTATAGTAATGATTTTTTAAATCATTGAATTAAACATTTTACCATAAATTGAGAACTATGCCTGTAACATAATTTTACATGTAATTGAATGAATGCATTTTATATTAGATGCAATTTCAATAAAATAGTAACGTAAATACTTTTAATGATAAAATTGCAGAAATAATATTTTTCTACTAATTTATAAATGAAATTTTTAAAAATTAATTATTTTAAGAAGAAAAAAGCTTGAATAAAGAATTTGAATGTTATAAAAGTAATAATATAAGTAATATGAACATTTTTAAATGTTAATTTAAATTTTTACATAAATCTTTTACCGTTACTCTTCACGTAAATAACTCATTCGTATTTTAAATTTTCTGAAAATTCATAGTTATAAAATTCTACTAAAATGAATTTCAAGATCATGTATAAATTTATTGAGGAGCAAATGAATTTAAATATTAAAGATAGAATTTCGGCTCTTTATAATAATATCATTCGAATAATAACAATGTTTAAATTCAATTTGATCTATAAAAAAAGACGTAGTTTTATATATGTATAGAAGTAAATGTAAATATGAATTGTCAGCCTATATATTAGGAAAATAAGTATAAGTTTTTTTTATTGTGAAACTTAATTAAAAGAATAATATATTCAAATACATGCAAATTATATTCTTAATGAGATGAACATTTTAAGATAGTTCTTATAATTTGAATTAGAAATTACATTTTCAAACAAAGTCCCTATATGCGGGTAATTTAAAATTATATATATTAACGTTCATTACGATGATATGAAAGATAAAATATTCGAAAACTACAGAATAATTTTCACGAAATATATATAAGAGTATACGTTTATGAAAATTCAAATATATAAAAATATTATCTAAAATTATAAATGTTAACATAGGAATTACCCTTTTGTAAAAATAAAATTGAAGCTTAACATGTTATTGTTTTACTCGTAAGAAAAAATCTCGAAATTCCAATATTTTTCATGTATAGCTTGTTTCAAGCATGTATTATTAAAAGACTAATTATAATGTTAAGATGAAAAATTTATAATACCCACCAACTATTTTTATTTTCCTCACTTTTTTCTGATTTTTTTTGGCTCCCCTCCCAATTTTTTTCTCATTTCATCTTTCTATCTTTCTCGAAGTTTGGAACTTTTCCAAATCTAGAAATTTTGCATTAGCTTTCATAAAAAATGGCCTAAATTACCCCGGAAAGTTTGGCGCCGGCATCGTGTTGCATCTTTTTTTCCGTTTTGCGCTTTTACTTCTATTTTTCTATTGAGTGCATGGTAGAGGAGATTTCAAGACTTCTTGTCCCGGCGGTAATCCTCTCATATTCGTCCCATCATGGTTCATGAAAGATTTTGCAGAAAAATAGGGGATGCCCTAGGTCAATCACTTCACAGTAAACTGTGCCTACTTTTTTTCAATTATAAAGTAAAAGTATTTTTTCATTCATTTTTAAATTCTTTGAGTGAAAGTAGAACTAATTAAACGTGAAGCCATGTGTTTCAAAATTACAGTGGACTGATGCCTTTTGATCACACTTCCAGGAAATATAATATTTTTATAACATTTTACACAATAAATCGCGAATAGTTTGATCAATTAAGAGTAAAATAGTTTAAAATATATTTAATATATCCAATTTATACATTTTTAATTTATATAAAAAATAAATTAATTGATGGATATCTGAAATATCAGAAGGTTATATATTACATATATATATACTAATCAGATAGTATGTAAATTTAAATATAATTAATCACAAATAATTTTTTAACTACATAAAAAGTTATTCAAACAAGTTCAATGATAAGATATCAAAATTCTTTATCGTCACAGATTCATGTGGTTTAAGCAATGCTGTTGATAAATATTATGTCTTTTTAAGTTTAAACTTTAAAATTCATGTTAACTGTGCCCTAAAAGTACATATAAACCTCACTTCTCGATGAGAGATATTGTGTAAAAGAGGTAATAATAAGTAATACGAACCCTGATTTTAATTCTGGCTCCAGCATCAGTTGCAGCCGCAACGGCGCCCTTAGTGAAGTCAGCAATCGTCTCGCCTCCCTTTCCGTCAACAATTTCACTCACCAACGATCCTCTGCTCGATCTCATGATGGCGACAGAGGATTCAGTTTATGACGAAGAAACCTTGCTGCGACTCACTCGCTCAGTCCGGCTCGTGGGAGAAGCCGCCCCTGCCACCTACGCCAAAACTGATATCGATCCGACCTTTCTTGAAAGGTTGGCGCTGGGAAACCTCGAATTCGATGCATCAGCCGAGCTGATGGCACAGATTCCGAAGCCTCTTAAACATCAGTACCTTATTGAGTCCAGCGACAATGATGTTTGTGCAAGTATGTACTTCTGCGTGAGAATCGTGGTTTCGAAGAGCTTCAACCAAATAATTGACGTTGTCGAATTTTATATCTTTTTAACCCTTTTTCATATTTCCCAGCTGCATCTCGAACTATATCGTTTTCAGATTTGTTATATCTCATGACTCTCAAGAAAAACATTCTTGCATGCCGTTCTCGAGTTTTTCACGGAATAAAATGCTAAAATTGAAGCTAATAAGGAGTATTATGACTGTCATCAAACGAACTTGAAATTACGCGTAGAATTAAAATTCAAAAAATTTTTTTACTTCATATTCAAATATATTCAGCATTTGGTTAATAATTATCGCTCATGCTTTAAAATCCTAAGCCCTTTATTTTGCATATTAATTATTTTTTAAAAATTAGTTTAAATATTAGTTTAAAATATAATCATTATCCAATTCAATTTAAATTGTTCAACTTTGAATACATTAGTATGTGCATATAAAAATATATATAAAAATTTTCGAGAGTGCATTAATAATTAGACATTTTAATATTGTAATTTAAATATTTTATAAGAATTAAAAAAAAAACTTTACCTTAAATTATTTAATCATTTTAATTCTAATAAAGAGATTAATTTAGATTAAATTTTTTTAATATTATATTTACCATTGTCAATATAATACTTTATTTATAAATTTAAATTCAAAAGCAATATTTCCTTTATATAAAAAGATTAGATATATACTAAATTAGATAAAATTTGATTCTATATATAATATGAAAACGTAAAATTAAGCATGTCAATATGAAATATATTATATTATATTTTAAGGTTGCGTTTAACATACTTTCAAATTATTTTTATTATATATAAAATTAAAATATATAGTGTTTTGTTTGAAAGCGGTATTATTTCCTGTCTTTAACTGCCAGTGTTTTGATAGCTTTAACAATTTGCCGCCCGCTCTAGCAGATTCTTAGGTGGGAGTTTAGTGAAAGGGTTATAGAAATGTGTAGTATATGCAAACTTTGTTAACATATACTACGTTTATTAACAGTTACATTAATAATAAGCAGGATTGACTTCTTATAGAAGAGTGTAAACTCTGTTTTGTCTCAATGATGAGGTTGCTCTTTGATGGTGACGACGTCGTGGTCTCTGCTAATATTGTAAGGATTAGCAGAAATATACTCCCACTCTTGTGTAAAATGTGTGGCCTTGAAGAGTATATGTATACACGCATGCCTATATAGGGCGTGTGGCCTTAAATATATAAATGAGGGTGGCTTTGGTCTCTGCTAATTTTGTAAGGTTAGCAGAATTATGCCCACACGCCTGTGTAGGATGTGTGGCCTTGAAATGTATGTATGAACATACCTGGAGACTATGCTTGTGCGGCATTCTAGTTTCTCGTCATGCAGTCTGCACCCTTGACTGCTATAATTCTGGCACACTTGGCAATTAAATTTGTGTTCCCTTGGATGTCTTCATTTTGTGAGAATAATTGAGTGACTGGTGTGTGGCCAAAAACGCTATCTAAATAACGTAATGATTTATAACTGTTGACCGACTGATTCACAATGAGGGACTGAGTGTAGCGTGCTGCCCTTAAGTATCTACGTTGCAGCTCACTTAGCTGGTAACAAAGCATCGCTGTGTCGAACTGGAATCCTACATGAAGTGCAGAAGAAAACTCTAAAAGTGTCGAGAATTCTATGAAAGAACAAAGCTTAAGAAATTTGGAGAATTCCAGTCGATGTTATTATTCGGAGACCATATAATCATTGCAGGCCATTTAAAAGAAAAACATAAAAAGTACCCGAAAATTCTCGTCTCAAGTGTTTACAAAAATCTGAGAGCTAGAGAGATTAGCGATGCCGAGAGCCAATGGTCTTGAAAATTGCTTCATTATCGAACATATTTAAAAAGCCTACAGTATAATATAAAATCAATAGATATGTAATAATTTTATATTATCATAAAAATACTTGATTTAAAATTAAAAAGTTAAATTACATGTTAATGTATATATCATTACTTTATATTTTAAATAGAAAATAAGTTTCGGTGAAATTAAAAAATAAATATTTATTAAAATTTTAATGACTATAAAATAATCAAAACTTTAGCCAATATCGATTGTATACTATTTATCATCATTTTATTACAGTACATTATAGTATATAGTAATAACATCGGAGACGAATCCTTTTGTATAATTATTTGCAAAATTATCAAATTTGTTAAAATAATAATATTTTATGAAAAGCGATTTAAAGTAGTCTTTATAATGATTTATTAGTTATATTTTGCATGAATTTATAAGTTATAAAACTATATTCATAAATCCAATTACGACAAAAAAATAAAATTGATACAGTATAAGTGTTTAGAATTCCAATTATTCAGTGGTCAAAGGACTAAGATGGTTGGATTAGACTATAACCACCAGTTGCCTGGTGGGGGAAAGAACTGCAGGCAAGTGGAAGGGATAGCGCATTTATTGAATAATTACATATATTGACTTATTGTACTGTTTTTTACCTTTTATTTTACAAACTATACAATAATAATTATTTTAAGATGGCCTTAAGTATCGGTGGGATCTTGCAGTTCGGTGGTGGTTGCTACTTGGCGTTAGCATGCACCACATACAGAGATGGGAGGTCGTAAATCTCCGGATCCTCTTGACGTAGTGTGCTTGGCGGTAAATTATTACACTGCGAAGTAAACATCGTAAGTTTCTTGACACTTCTTCGTATGGTACCATTCGGTGGTAACTTGTAATGTGGAAGGATGAGGAGGGCCTTCCGTAGCGGCTCTGCAGAGAATGTGTACAATGGTTGCACTAGTATGAGAGAGGCCTGCAACACCTTCGTGCTTGGACGCTAGTAAGAGTGAGACACTGCTCAGTATGGAGCTTATTGAATATACCTTCCGTAGCGGCCCTGCAGAGAGTGTGTGCAAAGGCTGCATTAGTATTGGAACGGCTTGCGACTGGTTCCTTGACTCGGATTGGCTGAATGATTCTTGACTGAGTGGCTCATGACTGAGTAGGGCTTATTTTATATTGCGCTTGCCTTAAATATCTACGCGGCTGCTTTGTTAGCTGACGACAAAGGGCCGATGATGGCGATAGAACAATGGGTTCGAGATGTGTTGCGAGAAACAATGAGAATGATTGTGCACTCATTTTGGATAAACCGACTTTTCCAAATCTCCTTAGAGAATTTTCTTAGTAGTTATGACTGATGAATAATTTTCTTGAAATGATAAATGTTGAAGTTCTTCTTTGAAATGATAGTCGTTGGTATTTTTCCCCAAATGAAATAACGTTCAGGAGATTCTATGAAGCTCGAACACATATATAAAGGCAAAAAATCATAAAAGTTTTTCTACCTTAAAATGCAAACGAAATAGCAAAAAATCATAAAAGTTTTTCTACCTTAAAATGCAAACGAAATAGCAAAAAATCATAAAAGTTTTTCTACCTTAAAATGCAAACGAAATAGCAATTAAATTTCCCAAACTCTCTTACTTTGCTGTTAAAACGAGGAAAAAAAGTCGGTATCGTATTATGATATAAAAAATGATTATGTAATGAAGAACCGTACATAAAATGCCATTTCCCTTATACAGACGAGAATCAGTTAGGCATCGACGCTCGATTGCAACGCATCAGGTCGGCCAATAGCCGACTAGCTCCGGCCTCAAGCCGAAAGTCCTGTCACAGAGATGTTGCAATATTCGAGAACAGCCTAAGTTCATCGTCTACAACCTCCCTTGAAAACGCTTCCAGTATTCGATTGCTCGACAGCAAATCAGAAGTCGCTATTTTTTTCACTGATAACAGCGCTGGTCGACACTTTCCGGTCGTCGAAGTAGAAAACAGCAAAATGACTAATAGTTGCAAGGGTCAACGAAAAAAAATAAGAACTGCCAGAAATCGGTGAGTCGGCAACTTTATTTTATTTCCTCATCAATAGGATACCCCATATGGAAATATTTTTAAGCTCGTCTGTGATTATCATACTGCCATAATAAAGCCAATGTACATAGATAATATTTCAGTAAAATTAATAATAATAATGAATTATTATAAATCAAATTCAAAATTTTTTAAAATAAATGATAGTTATAAAAATAGTAATAAAAAAAAATTTGAAAACCGTGAAGAGTGAATTATATTTTTAACGTGCATAATACTTAAAGATCTCGGCAGAATTTTGTCGATAATTGCTAACGTTAATTATTAATGTTATTAATTATTAATTATATTAATTAATCATTAATGTTAATTTATAATATTATTTTTAATATTATCTTTTCCACATTATATTTTTTTATCATATATATTTATACTCGATCAAATATTTTTATTTTTGAACGCATATTTTTAAATACATATTTTTATCATTTATACGAATTCTGACATTTGCTTAATATACGATCATATTCTTTATGAACCGGATTAAAAGATAAATTTAATTATGAATAAGAATGCAAATAATTATATAATAAATAATAATTATATAGTTAATAGAAATTGAAATTAGTCATTTTATTTTAGAATTTCATGAAATTATCTTTCAGTATGTTTTAATATCAGAAAAAAATGTATTATTATATATATTTACGTATTAAAAAATCCATATAGTTTTAGCTTTTTCATATTGTTTGATGTACATTCTGTTAACTTAATCATTTATAAAATTACGAATATCAATGTAAAACTTCGAATATCAGAGCATTTATAAAACATATATTAGCAAATTTAATGTAACACTAAAATTATAAAATAATTGTTATATTTTCAAGGTAGGACTAATATAAAAAATAACTAAAATAATGCACAAGTTATATGCACTGAACATGAAATAAAATTAATTAAAAAAATTATTTAAAATAATTATTTACATATCGTTTTAGTTAAATATATATATTTTTTATAATAGATTATTGGAAACATAAATTTTTTTATTAGAATTATATTTATTTATTAATTTTCTTATTCATTGATATGATTATTAATAACTCAATAAATAAAATATAAAAAATAATTATATATATATTTATATAATATTATATGAAAATTTTATTTTATAATATAATAATTATAAAAAATTATTTCAAAACATTATTTAAAATGTCTTCTACAGGATGAAATTATTTCGATCGAGAAAATTTATTTCATGTTTCATACATAATTATGAACTACATACTTACAGAGATCTACGGTGATCTGATATAACGAAAATATGTCGGCTAATTATTATTACCGTAAATTATAATGATAAATTTTAAAACATTTATCATTATATTTCCCATCCTTTTCAGAATATCCCCAAAAGAAATACACGATGTTTTGTTAAATGTTAAGTCAATGGAGAAAAATAAGACAGTTTCTTTAGGATCGACGATACATGCCAACGACGATCCACTGGAGCCTTGGAGCACCTGTAATATCAAGGATATGAATGCTATACTTGCATGGAAGGATCCTGATCCACATAGTCCTTAATTTTATTTTACAATTATAATGTTGACTAATACAACGTATGAAGAATACAGCATTACACAATTCATTTGTACTGTAAAACACAAATATTTTAATGTAACAGAATATACATAGCTTATATATATTTAATAAACTTCATTTTATAAAAAATAGTATAAAATAAATACTAGCTTAATAAATATGTAAACTAACAAAATATAGCAAAAATAAAGGTATTACTTATTAATTATAATATAAATTATATTTATCTATACATCAATACATTTTTTATGGTAAAGAGAATATTTCAAAATTAAATTTTCCATTTCAAAAGTAATTGATATTTGGTGAAAAAGTTAATTATTATGTAACTAATATATTTAAACGGCATGTTCTTTGTTAATTTATTTACATTACTTTAAATAATGAAGAATAAAATTTATATTTAATATAATATGTCATGAATTAATAGTATTATCAGTAAATTATATAATATTAAAACTATTTTGAAATAGTTGATTTGAAATATAGTATAGGCAACTATAAATATATAACTCTAGTATATACAACTTTAAATTTAATTTTAATTTAAGTATTAGTAATATAAAGGATTTGTAACATAACTGTTTTATGTGAAGGTTACGTAAGGGTTAGTAAAATCAGAATAAACTACAGTAAATTAAAAAATTTTAAAAAGATAATGCTAGAAATTTAGTTTATAAATTTCAGTATAGTAAACACAAATATATTATATAATTTTAATTCTTAGAAGTGTAACAAAAAATATTTTCATAAAATATTATATAATGCCTTTACTAAAGCTGGTAATTCAATGTCTTTTAATTCTTAAAATTTTATTTATCTTTTATTTATTAGATATTTATAGTGCAGTGAATATTTTGGATCAAATTTGTGTTCATAAAATTAATTTAATATTTAACTAGATACTTAAAATATAGAATATGTTTGAAATAATATAAAATTTGAAAAAAATCAATTTCATTATTTTATAGATCCTTTCAGGATTCTGAAATAAATAACATCAATTACGACAAATAAAATGTTATCAATCTTGTATTTTAAAGTTAATAAAACCATTCACAGTGTTCTTTATCTGATTTCTGTTATTTTCAAAATTATATTTGCCGTTAGTGATATGTAGTAATTATACTAGTAGAACATAATCTTATTATTTATAAGAATTTATAAATCGTTTTAATTTACTTTTGAAAATATGAATAGTAAAAATTTATAAAAAATTTTGTCGTTTTTCTAGACTATTAGGTATATGCATAACATAAATCAATATAAATATATTCCTTATTTTTTTATTCTAAAATAAAAAGTTCTAAAAATAAAGTTTATCCTGACAATGTTAAATTGTCATCGGGTAATAAAATTGAAATGAATTATAAACAAAATATTGGATTTCACTTATAATTCCACCTTTATGTAACACATAATAGTTTCATATGTAGAATAAATGATTTAAATTTGTACGATACCCGTTTATCATAATTATTTATTTTAAATGGAATAAATAAATACTATTTAGTAAATGAAACATCATATAATATAATGTCATGTATTCTCTAGTTTAATATTACTTTATTCTTTTTCGTTTTAACGGTTTCTAATTGTGAAATTAATTATACTGTATGATAAATTTCCTGAAAATTCACTATAAATAATTTTTTTATATTCAATAAAAAATCTAACTTATATTAAATCTATGATATATTGTTCTAATAAACTATAACTACATGACGTGTATGTTTCTACGTCAACCTTGCTTAGACAAGTTAATTGAACCATTGCCAAATATTGCCGAAGATCATAATATTTTGTTAAGTGATAAAATGAAGAAAAGGAAACACTAGACAATGCATGTAAAAAATAAAACTTCATATAGTATGAATGTTAAACTACAGCTGTATGCGTGGTATATATACAAAAATTTCACGTGTATATAGTAAGTGTCTCATAACTATATAAAAAAACAATTTTTCAAAATTATTTATTATACTAAATATTTTAATATTTAAAATAACTAAGAAATAATATTACATTGATCATTCTATATATATATATATATATATGTATTTTTTTTTTTTAATTACTAAGAAAGTTTTTCTTAAATTCTATCCATATTAAAGGATATTTTAATAAATCTATTAATTTATTGCATATTAATTTATATATTTATAAGTTTTATTTATAGAAATAAATTATATTATATTAGAAAATAGTGTTATTTATTTATAGAATTTATAGAAAATTATAATTTCTACTTTAATTATATAAATATTGTAAAGAAAATTAAATTGTATTTCATTGTTTTTCACACTCATGATTAAATAGGAAAACATATTTTTTGGTTCGCATTCAAATAAGTAGTTCATGAAATTAATATAATGATTTGAATGATATTTAACATTTTATTTAATTTGATCAAAAATGATAATATTTATCTATTTATCGCTTCTATATCTTCATTTATTTATATATTTATATAGCTTCTCTATATTTTCTTGACTTTTTTTTTCGAAACAAATTTTGTTCCATTATTATTTCATTATGTTTTTTCATTTTTTTGTATGAATGACTAAAAATCTATTTATACAACACTAGTTTATACTAATTTATACTAATAAATTCAAAATCTGCAAATAAAGCTTTATTTCAATATCTTGTTAGAAAAAATTACAGAAGTTGTATTATCTTACGATTTTTTCTTTGCATTTTTCTTTTTTTCTTTTTCATTCATTATCTATATTTTTATTCCACTTAATGTTTGTAAATATATATTTTCAATTTCAATTTTATAATATGTTTGTTTCATAAAATTTTTTCTTTTTCATTCATTATCTATATTTTTATTCCATTTAATGTTTGTAAATATATATTTTCAATTTAAATTTTATAATATGTTTGTTTCATAAATTTATGTTTGTACCATGCGTATTCCTAGAACACAATTTTCAATGCAGTATATTTTATGTGGAAAATAGAATACATGTTTTAACATTGAAACTCTGTCATAAATTAATTACATTTAATTATCTTTTGTATGAGACACTGCTAAGATTGAAAAAAGTATCAAGGCTAACCGATCCATTTTCCGTTCGATTCAGTTCCGAATTCCTCTACCTTAAGTATTCTAAATGACAGAGTAGCAATATTTAAGTAAAATTTAAGCTTTTAAAAAAAATTATATTTCTATTACATATAAAGTTAAACAGTAAATTTGCTATTTAAATAAATACTCAGAAATGTGAAAAAAGTACATACATGAAAAATTGCTTTAAATATATTTCTATCTATAGGAATATAAACTGTCATTATTTTTATATTAATAATGTTATAGTTGAGCTTGTATACTTTGCAGAGTAGCCTTGATCGTTTTCTTTCCATCTGTTCGTCCTCGATATGTTTTGCATTAGTATATAAAATTAGTATATAAAAGCTCTTTAAGTACAGATATATATCCATTTTTTCGTTTTCTATTCATTTTTAAATCAATATTTAATCAACATTTTAATTTTAATTTTTTTTAATAATTTTATATGTAATAATATAAAAATTAGAGAATGAAAAAGAAACAAATTTTTTTATTAACAAAAAAATTTATTAACATAAATTAATATGAATTATATGAATAATTTATATTAATAAAATAATTAATATTATTAATAATTTATATCATATATCGAATAATTATTATTCCGATAAAAATTAAAATTATTATTATTGACAAAAAACTTTATATAATATCTATTATTATTATTTTCATGAATTTAATGATTTTCTACTATAACAATTTCTCATTATAATTTTTTCATTGTAATATATTATATAATTATGTTTTATTATTATTATTGTCTAGACGAAAATTTATAAGTCGAAGATATTTTGGTATTTTATAAAACTTTTGACATATTGTCATGATTTAACAATAGTTCTATATTAAATAAGACATTTATTTTAGTACCATTATATATTTATTTGATTTTACTGGATTAAATATTTTATATTTTAATAAAAGATTTATTATTAAGTTTCGTCAGCCTACATACCTTAAATGAGAAATTTAGCTTCTACATAGGGTTCAATGTATAAAAACAATTTGTATCCTAGTCAAATTTACACTTATATATTTTATTTATATTTAATTTTATTTATATTTATAGGAGAACACTTACTTAAAATACAATAATAATGATTGCGTATAATGTCTTTTATTTTAAATTATTAATCAATTTTGAAGAAATAAAAAACAAGAGTCAATTTTCGAATATTAATTTTGATTATTAATTAAATAATAATTAAAATTAAAAATGAAATTGAAATTAATTTTTGTATTATTAATTTTTAAGAATAATTACATTATTCTTAAGATTCTCATTTTTCGTAGCTATTATTTATCAATGATCTTATAAAAAATAAAAACATATAAAGAAAACATATAAAATTTAATTTAATTTTTTACTTTAACTTTAAACAATTTTTATTGATTGTTTGTATATAATATTTTCTATAATATTCTATTTATATAATATTTTCTGTAATATTTTATTTATATAATATTTTCTTAAGGTTAAATATACATATTACGTTTAAAGTGTTAATATACATAGTGAACTAGCAAATATGAGGATAGTTCAATGGAATAGGTATTTAATTTTTTAAATAAAAAGTATAAGATAAGAATTCATACAAAAATTATAATATAATCACCGTTTTTTTTTAATAAAGTACAACTTCAAGTGTACAGTAAAAAAATTAATAATTTCTAATAAAAATATAGTAATCTAATAGAAATATGTGATTCGTGGCAAACTTCGGATAGCGCCATAGTTAAAATTCGTTAGAAGAACAAGAGGCATCTCGATACCAGGACTACAATAAATAAAGGCAAGAGATTAGAGATAGTGACGTTAATAAAACGAGATGAATGGAGCAGTTGCCGCCATCAAAGCACTGCTTTTGATCGGTAGGTTGCTGCATTTGGTAACATGGGGAGAATCGGCTATTGACGATGACACGGCTTATTACTGTAATATTTGTGCAAACCATACTATGTGCCTTTTTCCGGTAAGTTAAATAAAATGCTTGAATTACCCAAGTATATATTGTGAAATTTTATTGGGCTTGTCTTGTTTTGTCTTGTTAATTTTATATTTATATTAACGCATTGATATCTGCTTTATGTATTATATATTAATTGGATTATGATTTAACCTTTATTTATAGTCATTTATTTTTATAAAATAAAATAAACCTCATTTTATTTTTAAAATCTATAATTTATAATAATTGAAGAGTAAAAATACTTCAGAAGTTTCATCAATTAAAATATATATTAAATCCAATATTTTTATGTTTATGTACGTATTCATTAGCTTCTAAGAAATAACTTGTAAATTAATTATTTACATTTATAATTCACAATATTATATTGTCTAATGAATTTTTAAAAAATGAAGTCAGGAACGGCTCGTCTAAATAAACATATTTATTAATGTTTGTTAGATATTGTAAAAATTCATCACATTAAATTTTTTATTTTTTCCTATCTTAAAAACTTATTGTTTTTTTACAATGATTATTTACCATTTATATATATATATATATATAAATAATATATATATGTATATATATGTATGTATATAATATATTTATATATATATGTATATAAATAAATAAAATATATATAAAAATATATAAATATATTATATACATACATATATATACATATATATATTATTTATATATATATATATATATAAATAATATATATATGTATATATATGTATGTATATAATATATTTATATATTTTTATATATATTTTATTTATTTATATACATTTAATATTATATGTATATAATAATATAAATGTAAAATTCGTAAAAGCTTATTAATCATAAAAAAAAACAAAATCAAGTGTAAAAACAACTTCACATTCATACTATTTTTCTTTTATAATTGTTAAAACTACAAATAAAAAGATTAATTAATTAACTTTTTTAATTATATGTTCTTATTTTGTACTTTATAATTTGAATAATATATGTGATAATTCATATTTTATTAATTCTTTTTTGTATTTTCTTACATTTTGTTATGCTTATGGAAATATAAATAATTAATAAAAAAACATTTTAATACTATAAATTTTACATTAATAGTTATTTTATTAAATAGATAATTATTCACTTTTAATATAATGAATTTTAATTTTCATTAGACCAAATTTTTATTTTTTATGATAATCATTTTATTTCAAGCCTAATGTTCACCATTTAATTTTATAAATTTTAATTTATACGATTAACTGTTTTTGTCAAATAATAAAGCATAATAAAACAAATATAAGAACTTTAAAGAAATATTTTAAATTTGAATGAAATTTTAAAAACTAGTTTAATGTTTAAAAAATAAATAGTAAGTTTTAAAATCATAATTGTATATAAAATGGATACCCTTACAATATGAAAAAGTAGATGTGGATTAAAAATGTATAAGAAGAAATATTTTTAAATATTGAAATAGTCTTCTGTAAAAAAAATATCTCTAAAAAGATCTGTATAATTAAAAATATATTATACGACTTTCTTGTTTATTGATGTAATATATATATATATATATATTCATTATCAAGATACGATATGCCATCAAAATATATGATAATTGTTCTGACAATTTATTTCATAAAAGTTAAATAAAAAAATAGTTATAAAATCTCTAAACTATATTAAAAATGTAAAAATACACATAATTTTAATAAATAATTTCTTTAGTTTTGAACAAAAATTTATTGGTGACAATTTATTGGTTTTTGATATTTTGCAGATTATTTTATATTATTGTATCTTGTATCTTTTTCTTGGTTCTTTTCGTAATAATTAGAATAAAAGCATTTTTAATTAATTTATATTGGATTACCTTTATCGTTGTATTTAATATTTATTTTTAATAATAATTTGATAATAAGTTTCATAGTTTCTTCTAACTTTTCTTTGAAATTATTATATATATTCTTACTATATATGTTTATTATAGGAACTTTATGCAAATATCAAAAAAAATTATATGAAAAAATTAGTCGACTTTAAACATCTGATTAAATACTATGTTTATATTTATTGCTATTTTATTATATTTTTTCTATTTTTTACAAAAATTAAAATACCAAAATAAACAATCAACAAATAATGTATAATGTCTTCTTTATAATATGATAATATATTTGAAAATTAATAAATCGAGTAATACTTTCTAACATTAGAATTGCCCAAAAAAATTATTTTGGAGTTTAATTTTATTTAATACAGTTGCAGTTACTAGAGAAATTTTATTACTAGAAAAAGTTTCTTTTAATGAAGAAATAAACGAAATATTTTTGTTCATTATTAAAGATAAATATATATATATATATATATATATAATATGAAAATTGTTATGAACGCGTATTTATTTTTGCCAAATAGTTTTATGTCTCAAATAGTATAATGAATTTTAATAAAATACATTTATATAAAAGCGTATGAGATTTCAGAATTCTTTCAAAGTTTTTTATTTCAATGTTCAAGTTTGATGATCCTGGTAAAAATTGCCTGGGCATTGAGAATGGTAACCTAGATGATAAAGAAATCAGGTGGATTCTGCACAAGCATAATTCATTTCGTAATGACATTGTAAGAAGTAAGAAAAGTCATAATGTATGGTCATTTTCCGAAAATATGATGAAAATGGTAATATATATATATGTGTGTGTGTGTGTGTGTGCGCGCGCGCGTGCAGCGTGTGTGTGTGTGTGTGTGAATGCATAAGTATAGATATTATTTTTACTTATACCAATGCTTATAGTTTTACTCATTTATGAATTTACTTTTATCTAAAAATCTTCTTAAACTACATTTAGTAAAAACATATCAATTAAAAAACATAATTCACTTTCCATAAGTAAATTAATTTTATTTTTATACTAACAGATTTAATTTGTATTGAAATTTTATTTAATTTTAAGTCTTACTAATTGATAATACATAATTTTTTATCCTTATTGATATTTAACTACACAAAAAATATGATCAACATCATTAAAAAACACATAGAATCTAACCATATTACATAAGATATTTTTTACTTTTAGATTGTAAAAAGTTGATAAGAAAATAAGTTTATATTTATTCATGTAGATCTATTTTATAAAATATTTAATAATAATGCATTATAGTTTTGGGACAATGAACTTGCAAAAATTGCACGCAGATGGGTACTGCAGTGCAATATCTACGACAAAGACGAGTGCAGGAATCTAGGTATGTATTTAAAGCGTGTAATTTCTACGTATTAACTGTAGAAAGGTAATTGATTAATTTCTTATTAATTTTCATAAGGTTTTTAAAATAAATTAATATTTTCTACATCTTCAAATTGGCAAATAAAATTTAGAAACTGTATGGCTGTATAACTATATATAATATAAATATATGTATATCAGAAATTATGTATTATTTGGAATAATATTAGTTATATTTAATTACAAATTTATTAAAAAAAAATTTAAATTGAAAAATAATTAAATATATTGCATATTAATGGTATTTACATATTATATTATAACAAAATAAAATGTGTTCGACAGACATATTGGTTAGAACTTGCCTTCTGTAGTAGAGTAAGTATCTTTTTCTATATTATCTATTATATTTTTACAAAGATTGATAATGTTTAGGATTTTTCAACTTTTCGTTTTGACTATAGATATTTCCTTTGTCCGTCGTTTTGCTTTTCTTAATGTTACAGGTCCTTAAAAGTTGATACGTTATATTTTCCTTGAGTATAGATGCTAACTTTTCACAGACGGCCCTACGTTATTTCTCAATAACTATTTATGAAACTCATATTAAACATAGTATCTAAAATATATTTATTTGAAATCGTGGTATTCATAAATACTTATAAATTTACCTTTAGTATCATTAATGATGTAAAAAGAATTAAATGACTTTACTTATATCAATAAGTAATTTAAAAATAAAAAGTTGAACAATATTTACAACAATGTAATAAACATTTTTTAATTCGTAATTTAAAGGTTTATTTATAAAAAAAAATTGTATACAATAAAAATATTAATAAGATAAACAAGTATTTTGCAAATAAGTAATAATAAAACACAAAAAATATATTTATAAATTATATTTATATTATAAATATAATTAATAAAATTTCTTTAATACAATTTCAGAAAAATTACATTTTTAGTAATTATATTAAATATTTGAAGTATATAATATTTTAAAAGGATAGACTATTTTTATTAAAAATTGAAGTTTGTTATTAAAAAGAAGAAAAATAATAATAAACTAAAAATTATTAAAAGTATAATCAGGAATATATACTGCTCATTGATAATGCATGTAATGTAAATAATTTACAATATTCTCAAGATTTCATTAGCTAAATTTAGTATGATTTTTGCTCTATTATATTTTTCTCTGACTATACGATCTTCATGATTTATTCAAAGAATTTCTTTATTTTTATTTTGTATTTGTATATACAAATAAGCTAGCTGCATATACTATCATATATTTGTTTGAAAAAATGTCGATTATTTTTTTATTTTTTTACATCCATCCAGGCATATAAAATAAAATTAACATATATGGTATCAACTTTAATTTGGAAATCACAACCAGTAAAATTGCTCACTAGATCCAGTTACAAAGTTTAAGATGCAAACGAACAATATTATCGTACAAGGATTATTAATGGAAGTTTGCCTTATAATTACAAACTAATTTACCAGTTCTCAGCTTTTCTTCGCTACTCATTTCACTTGGTTATACCTTCCCAGTAATTTATTCTTCATCCCTCAGTTTTTGTTGAAAATTCATTGATAATGACCGTCTTTTTTTCAACATTATGGCAATTATTAACAACGCTTTTGAATTTCTCGCTGTATCTTAAATCAATATGTATGCATAAAAATTGTCTAAAGACAATAAGTTTCAAGTGTTATTCCCATACGCAAAAAGGTTAAAAAATTTAAAAGCAAAAGCCTATATTTTAAACAAACTCGTAACTTCATTTCATTTTTAAATTAATTTTTTTACGACATTTTGCAAATGTGTAATACCATTAATATATAAATTTATACTATTATATAATAATTAATATTAATTTATGCTGGCAAACAAATAGATTTAGAAATAATATTATATTTAAACAAGTATGTTGTATTTTATATTTAATTTTTTTATTCCTATATAGTCATCTATCTGTATTCTATGATGTGCCTTTGAATAATAGAAACTCATATATATATATATATATATATATATACATATAATTATATACATACAACAAATAAAATAAATTGAATTTAAAAATGCATTAGTTTTCAAAATGATTTTTAACTTTTAATTTAAATTTTTACTTTCTTTTCACATTAATAAAAAATGAAGTTAGAAAATAGATTTAAAAGAAGTGTCAATCCTGAAATTTATAAATACTAAAATTTGAAAAATATAAACATTCCGAATAATATAAAGCATGTATTATTAAAAAAACATTAAAAATAATACAAGAGTAGGCTGTTTATATAAATTATGATTTACGTAAAATTTCTAAAAACTAACTTTTAATGATTATATTATTATTATCTAATAATATTATGAATCTGAATGATTATATTATTATTTATATATTAAGAATATGTATTATATATATATAATATTTATATATCATATAAATATTTCAATATATTAATAAAATAATTTAATAAATTCAATATATTTAATACTTATTTTCTGTTATTATTAATATGATTGACACGATTGAAATGAAAAGTGTATAATTAGTTTTTATATCTGTAAGATGTCATTCTTATTTTATTAATCATTATATTTAATTTTCATTTTAACTTAATTAATTAATTTATAAAATTTAATCGTCAATTACGTCTTTTAGTTCTAAAAGAATATTTTTAGAAAATTTTTTTATAAAAGTATTTTAAAAAACGTTTTTAATATAGATTTTAATAAGATTTAATGTTATGTTAAACTTACATGAATTAATAATAGAACATGTATAATAAGTAGTTTGTAATTATAAATTATTAGGAAAGACAGTATATGTCACCAAAAAACACAGATTTATTTATACAGCCATGTGTCGTTAATTTCACAGAACAATTTCCCGTTATGCAAAATGTTAACACTCTGGATTTAGATGACGTAGGGAATTACACAGCTATGGAGCGGCTTGAATTCCACTTGAAAATATGGTACGATCAATTAGATATCTCAAGAAATTCTCTTGAATATAGGTACGTTTTGGTTATTTCCTTTATAATTTATATATAACACCATCTACTTTGTTTTAAGTTCTTCTTTTTATTCGCTGAAAACCGGTGTAAAATGAGACTGATAAAAAGTGTAGCGTGAAAAATATTTTTTAAGTTTATCCTTTAAATAATCTTTTCAATGATATTTATGATATTTATGAAATTTATTAGTAAATTAATTTTATAATAACATAAATATACATTAAACGCAGCACTACTTTTGTATAAACATTATTTAAATATTTATTAAAATTGTCGTTATATGTTTATACTATGCATTTATCATACCACATTCATTTTTTATGTTCAACCAATGGTTGTTGCATATTTTAAAAACAATTTAAGTTATCAAATTCATGTATCCCTTCAGTATGGTGAAAAAAGTTGAGGAAGCTGATTTGGCGACACCATCTCTGAGAAAGATGGGGTGTGCTCGCATGACTTATAACATCGATATACACGGAGAGCGACTCAGTAGAGTCGAGTCATTGGTGTGTAATTACGGACCGACTATCGAAATCCAGGGACTCCTAGCATCATCTGATACCACTGGATGTAAAACATTCAGCTTCCGATATCCGGAACTTTGTAGTAAGTTGGATCGAAATACGATTACTTATACATAAGTTGTCAGTTGCAAAGTCAATTGTTATTGGCAACAAAGATTTCCATTTTTAATCTCATTAAAATATCTACTTCAAATAATACACGTATTATCATTTATTAATACGAAAAAGATTAGAAAAATAGCAAAGTAATAATTCATTAATTTTACTCGATATCACTTAAAATGGGCAAAATATTTCAAATCACAGTAATATACAAACTTGAAAATGTAATACATAAGATAAATACTTAAATTAAAATATAATATGAATTTTAGAGGTAAAATTATGAAAAACGTCATTTATACACAAATGATATTTAAAAAAAAATATGTTACCAAATATATTTAAAGATAATACTTGAAAATAATGAAGAATATTTAGCTCAATTGTCACGATTTATATTTGATGAAAAAGTAGATATGAAATAGATATTAAGTAGTAGATTAAAAATAAATATGCTAAAAACTTTAATAATATTGGTTTCATGGTAAAGATAATATTTTATAAAGTATTATTATGTATGAAAATAAGTTTTATCTTTTTCTCTTTACAATTTATGCTGTTTCTGTTTGTAATATTGTCTATTATCTAATAATTGATAACCATTTATAAGAATTCTTTCGTTTGTATAATAATATATATGATAATATAGAATAAATACTTGGATTGATGGAATAGCTAATGAAATACTGGTTAAATAAATATAATTAACCCATATTTAAAGCTATATATAAAGGTTTACCATCCAATGCATTAAAAAATTTGGCCATCAAGAAAATGGAAAAATCTATTCTATTATTATTTTTTGAATTCCAGACATTCAAAATTTCTAAATTTAATAATTAATTTTGTCTTTAATGTATGGATGTTATTTTTACAAGTACTATTTTATTCTTTAGAACTTTACAAAAGAACATTAATGTGTATTAATTTTTAATCTGCATTATTATTGATTAATTCAGAATAATATATAAAATTATACAGTTTATTCAGTATATTATTAATAATTTGATATTATAAAAAGTTTATTTCCCATTCATCTTCTTATTTTATATTTCAATTATTATATTTAAAAATTTTTGATATTTGTCAACTTACTTAAAAATGATTTTATTTTAAAAGTCAAGTATAAATTGTATATGCTTATCGATCATTTTTACAAATATGTAATATTTTATTAAGAACATTCGCCAATTCTTACAATAAGAACTGATTTCAATAATATAAAAAGTAATTTATGATAAAATCTTGGTCGAATATAAAACTACTTGCTATTTTTTAATTGATTCAACTTATTATTTATGAAGGTATTTATTCAGTATTTCTCTGAAATTGGTTTTACATAATTTTTCTTAAACTTTTGTAATAATATTTCAATTTAATATAAGAACAAATAAAATGTACAAATATTTATTTATAGAAAAATAAGTATGGGGTTAATATAATAAATTTATACAATAGTAAATTGAACATATCTAAATTTCACTATTTTTCTAATTTATGTAAATTTTGTCTGTTTTAAGTATACTTACTTTTCATTTACAAGACTAACTTATTAATATAACTATTAATATATTATTTTATAAAATTATAAAATTATATTTTATGAATATACTTTTTTATTCTATTATATAGGGCTATCTTTAATAATCACTAGAAGCGTTTTTTTTCTAAAAGTTACTTCTGCATATAAGAAATTTTGTATACATTTAATAAACAAATATACAAATTACATTAATAAAATTTAATTAAAATCTATTTAATTATATAAAATAAATACATTTTTATTTCTTGTTTAGGTTTATAAATATTTATTTTAAAAATACATATATGTGTTAGACATAATTGCATACTCTTATGCACGTAAGCCATAATCATTATAAACATTTGAGAATAGCATAAACTATAATTATAAATACTTTCAAACAATATTTTTAACATTACCTATTAAAATAGAGCTATATGCAATAATTACTTATTATAAAAACTTTTGTAAATGTTCAATGCAAAAAGTATCTTACAATCTAAAGTAAATTCTTTAAAGGATTTGATATTTTTTAACGTTTAAAATAATGGTTTAGAAAAAGGAATTAATTTAATTGCAATGATTTTTTTAAATCTTATTGAAAATTGAAAATAAATATAATTTTGAGTTTTGAAAGAGAAATTTTGTAAAACTTCTAGCAAAGCTAAATTGATTTTTTATTATATAGACTGAAAGTCTTGCTTACAAAAAGAGTGAATTATAAATATACGTAATTGAAAATACTTTGAATGTACCTGACTTAATAATATTTATTATAAGAGATTAATTACAAAAATAAAACAAAATTTAGAAAAAGGTAAAAGTGCGATTGAAGAGAAAATGAAGGTCTGACTCGTTAGAAAGTGATCGATCTTCTCCTTTGAGTCTGGCTACAATGCAGGAAACAATCTTTTGCCACGACGGTCGCTAAAATAGATTAAATCTGTCAGAGAAGTTACAGGGACGAGAATTGGTGGTGGAGAAGAACGAGGAGCTCTCTTTCCGGATGTACGGTGGAGACGAGAACTGGCGACGACAGGGGTACACGGCAAACGTTGCTTCTGGTACTACTGCTGCCTCATTCGACTATCTTTTCCTCGTGATGCTGATGCTGCTACTACATTACTCTCCCATCCACTACATACACCATTTTATCTTCACCTGACGATGATTACCTGGAAGTTCTTTTTATGTTTTTCATTGCAGTTGCATTATTACCTATATTTTTTAAAATATTTATTTTGTTATTCATATAGTCTTTACCTATTTAATAAATTTTTCGCTGTTACTAGCTTTTTGCCTTTAAATATTTTTTTAATAAAAGCTTAATTATAATTAGGTTTATTTTTATGTCTATTTCACAATATGGATATTATTTAGTATAATAAAATATAAACATAAATCATTATTATATTATGAAATGTGGTAATAAATTGAATATGGATAACAAAATTTATTCATACGATTCCAGGTATCTCAAATAAATTTCAATGAAACAATAAACTTATAAATGTTTTTTAATTGATATATGGATAATGCGTATGTATTAATATAATTAATAATTGCGTATGCTTAGGCACAAAATTAATACGTTTACACCTATTATATAAATACATATTTATGAATGTTCCATTAGTGAAACGATAATGAAGTACGAAGTACTCTTTCATTGCTTTTTGTATATTTTTCTCACAGATAAAAACTAAACTTATTATTGAGTTATTCAATTTATATACTTCATTACATTAATTAAAGAATAAAAATATTCGTAATTGATTAAGTAGTAAAATGTTCACTGTATAAATGAAGTCATTCAATACTTATAAGGATTTATTTACCATTACAACTATATGTTAACCCATTAATTTAATAATACAAATAATTTCCATTTATGAAATATATAATTTAAATTATAAAAGTTGGGTCATTTTATGAACTGTATTAAATTACGGAAATAAGTAATGAATTTAATGAATAAGTTTAGCGATAAGTACCCATTACATACAATGTAAGGTTCACATTGAACCAATCTGAATATAGATGAGCTTACCCAAAGTAAATAGCGACAGTCCAGAATGTTATTGAATATATTCAGCTATCATCATGACATATGCTCATTGCCACGCAGCCAACGTTATAAATGAAATCCACGAATGAGGTTAGCTTTACTAAATAAATTAATTGGCCAAGTGCATCCATTCCATAATGATCTCCTTTAATTATTTTCTAGAGAGATTTTTTCGTTCTCTTTTTCTTTTTTCCAGCCTGCTTTTATAAAAATATAAAAGATTCGCGCCCACTGAGGCTACATACAAATCTCACAGATTTAATCCCAAATTCAGAATTACCATTCTTGTATTAACACACAGAAAGACACAAAATAACTCTCCCGCCTCTTCGACCAATTATCGCTCTCCATTGGCTAATTTTTCTAGATGTATGCGACCATTCATCTGAAATTTTTCTATTTTTCTACTCAACCAACCTGTCATTACCATCTACAAACCATGACAATCATTACGAAAATTAATTATTCCTTAACGATTATCTGATTTTAACATTTCGACTATTGCTTTATTATTAACTTGTACTATATTATATTGTTACGTAAAATAATGAAAAATATAGGTTAATTTATTTTTAAAGTTTATTAAAAACTTACTAATGATTTTTAAGTTATTATTATATAGTAATATCCTTTCTTATAAATAAATTATACAAATGACATTAGAGCCCAATCAAGTTATCTAAACTGCAATAATATGGATGATTAATATAATATGCTCGTTGTAGTTCAAATTCTTTATGAAACTCAAATTATTACACTTTTTTCGATATTTCAATTACGTATTATTAATTAGCATCACAAGGTTAATCAAATTCTATGATTACGTTTAATTTGAATGAAATGATAGTTTCAATTAATTATCGTTAACAAACTAGGTAACATTTCTATGACAACTCTCTATAACTACTTTATGGCAACGATAGCAGCTACATACATAAAATTTAAATAAATTAAAAACAAATATCTTTTTCCAGATAAGAATTTTTAATAATTGAATTTTGATAATTATAATTTAAATGCAATTCCATAAATACATCATTAATCTTTTTTTTAATTGTTTCATTTGACAACTAATACTAAAAATAATTTTTTTTCTCATAATAAAAATATATATATATATTATTACATTTTATCAGTTAATAATGATTAATTACTCAACGTATAATAGATTTTTGTAATGTAGTTAATATTTTTTACCTTGAAATATACGAAATATCAATCACAAATTATATTATGAAGAAAGCTAAGAAATAAATATTTATCGATGAATGAAACGATATAAATAAGTTCTTTATGAGCGGGTTATTTACATTAACTCAAAAAATTATATTACGTTTCGTAGCAACAATAAATTATAATAATATAATTTTGTTCATTTTTCGTGTATCAATTAAACTTATTTTTGTAAAAAATATATGTAATAAAGGTCAGAGCTCTCATTTATCTGCATACGTGCGCATACTCGCTTAAAAAGAAAAGCAGGCGACGTATGACATCGATTTCCATCCGACCGATTTAGCGGCGAAACTACGAAGAGAACTCTGTCTGGAAATTACGTTTCTGTGACGAATATAAATATCTCATGCTAAGGTGACTATATAAGACTAACATTTTGAATAAATGTTCGATCTGGAATATTTCATCGCTGTTTCTTGTCGTATATTAAATACGTTTAAAAATTATTTTACTTTTGTTGTTGTTCACTTCTAACTACTTACAAAAATATTTAAACAGTTACAAGATTTATAAAATTTTGTTTATTCATTTAATTTTATATTTTACAATTAAAAATGTTAAGGCTTTATTAGAATTATCATTTATTAAATATATTTTTTCATTATTATGCTAATATGCAAAATCTTTTAATAGAAAAAAGTATTAGAAAAAAATAAACTCCTTAAACGATTGACATATTATTAAAATGTTTAAATGTGTTTTATGTTATATGTTATATGTTACTGGAATAATTTGTAAATTGTTTATGTAATTGTTTGTTGAATTATTACATAAATTCTAAAATAATCAATAATTCAAATTACTATTTAAGTTTAGTCTCAAAATATAATAATTAATTTTATAATTATTATCTAATAAAATAGTATATAAAGTATATATATATAATATATATTATGTATACAAATTTTAATAGAACAAATTTATAATGAGTACATTAAAAAATTAATTAATACAATTTTATATTAGTTTTAATAATAAATATTATATAATACATGTTAAAAATTTAAAGCCATTGTTTTTGAACTCAGATCAATTTTATTAAATGTATTCAGTGCTTCATTTTATTTAAAATTTTGTTAATTAGGTATTGGTTGGCTTGCGTTTAAATTTATAAATATTTTAGCTATATAAAATTTGTAGTTCAGTTTTAAATATTGTTCAGTTTAATACTGCTATAGTTATTTTAAATATTCAAATATTGACCAGAAATAAATACATTTTAGGAAAATGTTTTATCATTTATTTTTTGGAGAAATAATTAAAATATCAATATTTAAAAATTAATTTTGTATAAAATTATTTCATATTAAAAGATTACTTAATAGACAGCAAAATTTGATTTTGATTTAATAATAACTCAAAAATATATTAAGATACACTTATGAAAATTAGCAAAGAACACTTAGATTTCATAAAAGAAAACTTTTTTAATATATTAAGATAACAAACATAAGATAAATATAAATTCACTCATATAAAGGAATCCTATTAATATTCATTTAAACTATAAGTAAAACTATGAGTTAATTTAATACATGACTATTTAAAAAAAAGGTTATAAAAAAGAACTGATAGAAATATTTTTTATTCAAATTATTTTAAAACGTAGTCAAAATAATTTTCTAATACTGAAAAAAATTAATATGAAAAGAGTATTTGAAATACTAAATTAAGAATGATTTTTCATACATACACAATCAAAGCAAACATTAATAGTAAAGTAAATCGGTTCTTCTATGAGAAATTTTGTCTTTGATTAGATAGATGGAAGGATTTTTAAATTCTCGATTGTTGTCTCCCTTGTACAATGAATCTGACAACGCTACTTCATTAAATTCTGTTCATCAATTGGAAATTACGATTATAAAATCTATATTAAGTCAATACGTTCCTTAGATCAATATAAACATTTTCAGCAGAAATTTTTAACAATACTGGCTATAAAATTATTTTGTTTGAATTTCAATAAAAGCAAATATGTAGAAATTTAAACAAACTGCTCTATTAGTGTAAGATCAGAATCTGTGGAAATATAATGTATTTTAAATACAATCGTCTTCGCATAGTACTATTTGGTTTTATCTTGATAAAAATCATATCATACCAAAAAAAAAATGAATAAATTTAGCATAAAATTTATTAAGAAATTTAGGGGTCAGATATAGTTTTTCTTTTACATAGTCTATAGGCGATGTTCAGTATCAACAGCTTTGCTAATTATTATGAAATTAAAAGAAATGCGAAACTTATAAACTTTAACATATAAATATCTAATATTTGTTCATTTTATAAATTTTACAAAATAAAATAAAATTTATAATTGTTTCTATCAAATATTTGCATTCGTAACATTTTACAGTAAATTGTTATTTTAAAAGAAGCTCAGTTCAATGTGAAAACTTTAACAAAAATTTATTATACAATCAGTTTAATGTAATTGAAATGCAAAGAAATTTTTTACCTATTTGTAAAAACGAATTATACTAATTTAAATAAACAAAATTTATTTTTTATTTTTTAATTATTACTAAGACGTAATTAAAAATTATATACGTAAAGCTAAATATATGAATGAGTAGCATATTTGAAATTTTTTAAAATATACCACAGACAATCATGATAATATTTATTATATATTTTTCAAGTAATATAAATGTTATTTTTATATATTATGATTTTATTATTTACTTTTAAATTTTACAAATTTGTTTTCTTAACATTTTCGATTTGTGAACCGTGAAATCAAGAGTACATTTTCTCATATATATTTTACGGCTGGAGTATAAGTCAAGAGGATACCAAGAAAATATCACTATATATTACTTTTCATCACAATAATATTACTTTTCAAATAAGAAATTTTATCTAGTTAAAACTTGTCATAAAGAGGCTTAAATTATTTTCAATTA